CGTGCCATCCGATACATGTCGACGTCAGTTGTGGCTTCGGACAACTTCCGCCGCCAGTACTGGCGTTTCGCACTTCTGACTATGCGACGGAAAATGGAAGGATGTGAGAGATTCTAGCGCCAATAGATACCATTAGGAATCTATCGGAAAATACTATGTCATACCAATGAGTGATGATTTAGGTCAATCATATCCCATGCGCATGTGCACATTACTCTAATGTGAACAGTTTATTGTGATACAGTCATGTTACTCCCTTAATTACAACACCCACTACATGAGTAGTCCAAATGTCGGACTGAGTTATCGTCGTATAAAGTCGTCGGGGAAGGACTAGCGCTTTTGGTGTCATGCTCTATGGGTGCTAGACTTGTGCCCTTCAGGAATAATATTTGTCCATCAATAAACGTCACCGATGTTGGATGGTGCGGTGATAAATGATCTATGTCGGTCTCCAAAGTATATTCTGGATAGCTTTGACACAAATTCCACTCAGGACAGTAGATCGCTGGACGACTCAGGCAGCTCAGCTCCTATAAGTCGAAGTCCGTTGGATATCGGGCCATTCCGGAATTATCGGGAACGAGCAGGCGGACAAGTTGGCCAAAGCAGCCCTGAGAGACATCCCAGACTCACGGAGTGAGCAAAATTACACCTTTGCAGCTTTGAACCAGCTCGTTCGAGAGCAGGCTAAGGAATCTGTGGAATCCTGGTGGCTTATGCATAGGCCAAGTCGGTACGAAGAATTAGACCCTCGTATGAGACGGAAACGACCACCTGAGCTTGGATTACTGAGATTAGCGTACCATCCTCTTATAGCAGCGAGGATAAAACACGGTGATTACAAGGGCTACCATGATAGATTCGGACACGAAAATTTCGACAGCAGATGAATCTGTAGAAAGAAGAGGCGTCCTTGGAACTTTGCAGAGTGCCGAACAGCTCTGCCACAATGAAGAATATTCAGACACGAACCACCACCAAGAGGACGGGTTATGTTGGCTGAAAACGAATTGGAGTAATTCTTTAAGTACTTAACTGTAATGAGATGTTGGGGAGGAATTTTTCACATTGAGAGGGTTAATCTATCTCGAGAGACTATGATCTTTTAGCAATTTGATATGAAAGTGGGCAGGGCGCAGGGCAGTTATTGTCTAAGCAATTTTCTTAATGTATTCTTTCATGTACTTGCTCGGACTAGAAAGCTAGTTAGATCGATAGTTATGAGTCTTCAGAGATCATACACCCGTACGATGCTTCTTGGTTGTAGGATCTTTGCTTGATACGGAATTAATATATACATACATCTATACATAGAGGAGATCGCTGGTACGAATCCGGCAAAACACAACCACTTTTCTCGCGGTACTTGTATGCATGGATGACTAAGGCATGCTTGGATAATCAAAGATTTTGAATTTCCCTTTGGTGAGTACTACCGAAAGAGGGTCAACTGTTTGTGTAAGCAAACATACCTTATAGTGGTAATTTCGAATGAAATATAAAGTATGAGTATCTCTAATGTCAAAAGAGTCATCCATTTGTATACATAACACTGATCATGGGTCATAATAGGATAGCTGCTAACATGCTAAATGATTTATAAAAAAACACTGTTCAAAAACGCTTTTACGACCCCGGAAATTCGGTGGCCACCATATATTTCGTGACGAGTAACGTCCTAGACAGTGGATTAATGACGACTGGGATAGTCGCGATTCTGAGTGCAGTCAGAACTAAGGCGTGTTGGAAACAAAGACACGTGGTGTCTTGGACTTATGAGCCTTCAATTCCATCTAGGTTCTCGACATGGTATTTTATTTCATATTGAGGTCGGAAAATTTTATAAGATAGTGTAAAACTTAGAGAGGTCTTCGTGTGAATGTCACGTGAATAGTTAAAGAGGAAAGCGAATACAAGAATGAATTGATTAAATTGTTTCCGTGCTACGAGTCCATCGTAGGAGGGCAAGACTGAACACCTGTACGCGGTGTCCTCTACGAACCTGGGAGTGAAATATTCTCCCAGAGCCAAGTTCAGTCAAATTTCGCAATATCAAAGAAGTTGGCCCACGAGGCAAAAATTCGAATTACTCCACCATGTCAATCTTTCACTCCCAATGAGTCCAATTCTCAACTAAGCTTCATCAAGTCTACAAGTACGACATAGTACATCCTCGTTTCAATGACCACGCCTCTCGTCGACTTTCTCTGGCCTCAGCCGGTCACCAAATACACGCCCACGCCGATATTTATACCCGACGGAGAGGCAAAGCGTGGAGCACAAATCTGAGAGATAGCTCTTTGGGATGGACGTGAGAGGGATCAGGGCAAGTTTACAAGACGATGCAGAAGATGGATACAGTCTCGACGAGCGTGTGAATTTGAATTTCGGCAAGGAGTTTCACGAATTGAGCTTTGTGTGCGCCAAGAATTTGCTTGAGGGAGTGCAGCTGGCACTATAAACACATGACAACGAGAGAATGTGCCGCGGTCCGTCTCCTGGTGGTGTCTGATGTAGTCTGAGTTTCCTAGGCATCTACTTCGCTTTGGAAGGACACGCTTCAGACCACATTTCGCGCGGAGAAAAGCCAATGGATGATGGAGGCATGTCTGGATAACTCAGGGTTTTTGAGACGTTCCCCTGGGTGGGTATTCACGGATAAGGGTTGGATAAGGGTTGACTTGGGGTGAAGAAAAAGCCACCATAACTTCGCAGTGGTACTTGCAAATGAAATCTGAGGCATGAGTGCTTTTCCTTTACGTTGAATCATCTATTCTGTACTTTTCTTTGATATTGTTTCATAGCTAGATAACTGCATACGCAATTAAAATCTGTTCCAAAATAAAAAGAGTCCATCGTAGCACTATAATATCTAGGTCTACCCTAATGACGCCCCTGATCATCATTACTAGTCTGACATGCCTGCACGCAGATCGTGCTTTCGCTTTTGGACTGGATTCAGAATTATGCTTGCATAAGTCTGCTCACAGATAGTGTTTTATTAGGATTGCCTTTACAATCTATATAGGTGGTGTTACACCAACTCACATCGTTCTATGATTCCAATCTGGCCTATGGGCAAGTGACTTTATGTTTAGCCAATGTACTATGATGGATAGCAAACTCTTGCCTGAAAATCTTGTCTAGATCTTTATTTCGAGCCCGCAGTCTACTTGCAGCTTTCAGCCCATTTCAGGTTATTTTGTAAAACAATAGTGGCTGTATGATATGGAAACAAGGAGTTCAGTGGGGGTGTTGCTGTATGCACATCGAGCCACGATCGGGTACATTATAGCTTAGGTTCTGAGGAATTTATAGTGCACCCAATGTGTTAAATAGTCATGGGCTTAAGTAGCACAATAAACAACTCACTCACTTGAAGTGCACGAGTCTCGCTCTATTTGCAGCAATATTAATATGACACCCATTTAGATAATTTTTGTTGTAATTAAGGCAGCAACATGACTGCAGTAAACAAATAGTACATATTAGAATAATATGCACTGGCGCCATGAGATATGATTAACCCATATCATCACTCACTGGCATGAATAGTAATTAGCCAATAGATGCCTAACTGTTATGGTGTGCCAAGGGATTTGTCAGGAGCTAGCTTAGTAAATTAGCCTACCCATGTACATAGAATGTAGAGAACACACACATTCAATTAGATAGAAGACTAAGTCTGCACACATTAGCTCATTGCTCCCATCTCACATATTCGTTCTCCTTGTACATCGCCAGTCACCTTTATTTGTCTATCAAGATATCTTCCGCAAGCTCATAACTATAACACTAACAGTATACATTGGTTTCAGGATCTCCAACAACCTTTCCGTTTAGGTTAGATTAGGGAATATGTTGGAATTCACACTAGTGTGCGGAAAACCCCGCTTTCATGTATATAGAGGGACTTCTCGCCACACATATAGAATTATAGCAATTTAATCACAATTAACTATCCATTAAACATCAGTAAACTTCTTCGTATAGTAAACACATTTATCGTATCTCTTAATCAAACTCGAGGCTAGTGTGTAATTCTTCCAATCTCCGGAACTAATTTCAATTATTTTTTCCCAGGAACATTGCGCGATATTTAAATGAGGCTATTCTCCAAACCAGCATGTAGCTGAACAACGGATCAAGTAGAGTCCGTAAGGAGAATGCGTGTCTTTCTATTTATAGATCTGAGTGCGAAGCCAGTCGGAACACGGTATATATGCTCCATGTTAGTGGATATTATTTCAAGTTATTACAATACAGCCTATTTTAAACCGAACAGCGTGAATTTGCGCCAGGAATTCTCTTTCCTCAGTCGAAGAAACAAATGATTATATTTGATATTTGAGGTAGCAGTGTTGGTTGTTGTCATGGTTAGGTTTGGAGATCTGGAGGGCTCTGAACGTCTTTCGCATATGCCATAGCTCTCTTCAAAATCAAGGGAACGAAAGTATGTCATTGTGATTCTCCGAGTCTACCAAAGTACTAGACCGCCCAACAATGATCCATCGATTGAATGAGTATGACAACTTCTTGGAGCTGTTGAAATTTCCTGAGACTTACTCGATCAAAAGTAGGCCAGCTTTTAGAATGCTGGTGTCATATCGATCCACAGTTGTCTGCAATTCTGGCCCTGCTCGAAGCAATGTTGGAGAGTAATTCACGCAGCGTAGATTGTTAACGTGAAACCTTGATTAATATTGTTGTTAATACGGCTGTCAGGATACGACAGAATACTATCTACTATTCCTTGAAGCCGGTCCAAAATCTGGTTCACTGAGAAGAGCCAATCGAATTATCACCGTGTAAGAGGACTTTAGTAAAATTTTGTTAGCGATAATGTTCTATACTATTAGTCTTTTTTGGGCGAATATTGTTCAAGTTAAAATATGCGGAGTAGTATTTGAGTTAGACTATAGCTTAATCTTCATCATAGAATCATTATACCTGGAACATTTCTAGCGTGAAAAGAAAATTGAACATGATGTTCCTCATTAATTATTAACAGTCTTTAGCCGAGCCAGTAGCTCCGTTGGCAGTTCTTCCTCTCTAATAATACCAAGCTGAACCATGTCACCCCAGAAAAAAAGTGCACGATCTGAAGCATATGATAAGTAATCAAATCCAGCCTCGCCCTCCTGTATTTCCAGTTCAGTGAACGAATCCCCAGGTATCAATTCATGCACCTCGATTTCCTCGGCCGTGTAACGAGAATCGTGAGCCACTACTTTGCCATCAGAATGGTCTAGACCCGGGACTTGAGCTTGGACAATACCCCATGCAACCCACTGAGCTGAATTGGCAACACGCCAACGATGGACGTCACAAAGGAGTTCTTGAATTTGATGCTTTACTTCTTTTTCCAGCCGAAGTTCCTCTTCAGTGTAATCAACTGTAGAAGCCTCAACACCAAAATCACAAATTTCCATTGTACTCTTATCGAGACAGAACTCACCACCTCTACCTTTCATATTATCTAGTAAAGGCATGTTGGGAGTTGTGGATGTATTCGAATAGAATCGCGATTGGTGAGTAACGTAGCTTCGGATAAATCTGATCTGCTCGTCTAACGATGGGTATCTGTTTGTATTACAAGCCCAAGGTGTTTTTGGTTCGTGGTAATTATAACACCATTCAGTGAAGTGGTTGGCAAACTCAAGGCCTGGGGTGTTGGCTGAAGCATACTCAAAGTCTATCACAACTAGTTGTTTGTGAGAGTTCGCCGGTAAAAGGAGTGGCGAAGGCGACGAGCCTACGGTATTATCTGGGATTAGACGAAGTATGTTACCGTATTGCGTCTACCAAATGTTAAGATGTATGTGCAAAACTCTTGATAAATACGTACATCATTGTGTGCAAAGATGAGTTTTTGCTTTACTCCATCTTTCCCATAATGATCGTTAAGCCATTGCCGGTACCGGTTCACAGCCAATTTGAACTGAGGCCATTCGACTCCGCAGACAAAGTCTCTAGATTTCCAGAGTCCTGACTTTCGAGAGGAATCAACCTTGACGATTTGATCTAGAACTGTCATTATCTTTTCACACCTATCCACCCATTTATCCCAATTTCTCCACACAAATGGTCCTTCTTCTCTTTCACGGTCTAGCAGCTCAACGCCGTCATGCAATTCTCGCATTCTCTTAGCGATCTGAACACTAGTGTCTGCTATTCTCATGTCATTCGCGGTAAGAGGTTTTGCATTCAGATATTCTTCAAATCGACCATTAATGAAGGTTCCAAGCATCCTCGCTCCGATTTTTTTTTGTGCTAAGCGCTTAAGTATACTGAGCTCATTTTTGCGATCGATTAAATGTTCTACTTGAGGACCGTAAATACGCAACAGGACCTTGGAAGGATATCTTGACGGGAGACTTTTAGAATTAAGGGTTTTAACATCTACAGGAGGTGTGACGACATAGACTGCGTTTGTAAGAGCACCACTTAGCCTTTCTACCTTTAAGTCTTCACTACGTTCAAGAGGCACCTTTTTCCACCCTTTTAGTCTTAAAGTATGCGCCAATTTTAAAATCTCTAACTTAAATGTTGCCCATTCCCTTATTTCTTTTGGAGATTTTTTGGAGATTCTTTCAACAAGTGTCTGGTGAACGAGGCATGCTGGTTCGTCTAAACTCGTAGAAGTCTTGGGATTATCCAGAAATACATCACAAGAGGGCACAATGATACCGCCATCTTGGTAGTCCGTGTCAGAGCCCAAAGTTCCATATCGCTTTGACGATGCTCGCCGCCTAGAGCCGACAGTCATACATCGCCGTGGTGCAGACACAGGTTCACTAGTAGAATGTTGATCCAGATTATAAGAGTACTTACTTTCCTCAAGAATTTTTTGCAGCTTTTCCAAGGATTTTAAGCCTGAAGTTGAATCTTGGTTGGATATTTCAGACCATCCACTGCTGTTTGTGTGAAGGTATGTGAATTCCTTTTTTTTATTTTGTTTCATTTCTTTCCTGGTCTTTTCTACTTTTAGCCAGTCTGAAACCTGCGTAAATAACCTGTCGAAGAGATATCGAAGATTATTGGCTTGAATTGCGTGTCTGCTGGAATTAGCAGCACCGTGTAGGTGTACAGAGGGGTTTCTTTCATTATTATCAGGATTTATCGCATCAAAAGCGGGAAACTGAACATTTGTAGTGTTAATATCCAGCCAGGAAAGTCTCGTTGACTGGTTGTGGGCAAATGTTGGTCGTCTATTAGTCTTTCTTTCTGCCATTTCTGCTTTGAGTTGTCTGGCCCTAAGACTCTCAAGTCCCGATGATGTGGAAGGAGATTTGGCCGGTTGCACTGCAAGATAAACAAATAAGCCTACGCTATTTGCTCCTGTGAAAGAACTGCAAGTACAAATGGGGACAACAAGAGTTCTATTCCAAGTATCAAGAGATAAACTAACCTCCCTTCAACTGCTCCTCGGTAGCAGGCGAATTTCCTGTGTCCCCGGGCTCTTCTCTTAGAGCTGGTAAGGCAAATAAGTTATTTCCTGAAGTAATTTCCGACATCGCAAAGTTAGGTAACTTTTAATGGGATTCTTTCAGTGGAGCTCATCGAGCAGTTTCTTTGATATTTCTTCAAGTTTATTCGAGTCATGAGCTGATGTAAGGATCTAGCGCTTCCCAAAATCTACTTATGCGTCCAGAAGGAGGATGTTACTATGTAGCTGAAAACATCCAGCATGAGGTCACGATAAGAACGAGTGAGCTTTGGTCAGGCTACGATAGCCTTCCATGTGAAAAAATGGTATTAATAGATTGACCAAGGCTATTGATAGAGACCTAAGTTATAAAACAGCATATGGGGAAGAAGCTCAACTCAGTTGCGGCAATAATTCAAAATGTAACATACTTGATCTGTAATCTTTAGTTGCTAGTCTCCTCACAACGCTTGCCTAGATTAACGTTAGGCACTGTAAAACTAGTCTCAAGGTGTATTCTTAACGATCAATAATAAGCACCAATAGCAACCTAGAGAAAGTTTTAGTCTACAAGTCTCGCCATTAAGAGCCTTGTAAAGTTCCGCAGGCCCATTCCATTAAGTGGATCTCAAAAGTTCCAGAGAAGTTCCGTTTAATACGACCGGAGAAAATATGATGGACCTCTAATACTCAAGAAATCTCCAAACGTGCTGTTCAAAAATAGAACACTGCCTGGATAATATCTTCAGCGTGCTTGACTCCATCAAAAAGAGATGGCTCTATGCAGAAGCTGGGTCTAAAAAGCGGTATCATGGACTCAAATTAGTAAGGCGCTATGGATCTACTTGGAAAACAAGCAGAAATTTTGTACGACAATCAACTCCCATTAGCAATGTGCCGATGAACCCCCATCTCTCACCGTAGAGCCTACATAGCTGAGAATGAGTAATATCTTTTCAATTTTGAGTCGAGTTATGCCCCCTCCCAAAAGATACGGATTTGACAATACCATCTAATTATAACAACGATAAACACTGTAGGAAAGAAGAAAGACATTTCGCTACTGAGCGCTACAACTGTAGTCAGAAAAGCCCTCGTCATGGCCTGACAAATACTACTTATAGGTCGATAAACAAAAACTTACGGAAGCGGAATTAAAGAGATTTTTGCCCTCAAGAAAGTCAGATATCGATTTGTCAAAAATTTCATCCTATCTAACCTTTAATTTCCAGTTAACTAGCCAGAAGGGCATCTAAAGTACATAGGTTACTCGATAACCACATGGTTGTAACTATCTTAGGTGCTAAGCTAGCCCTCTTCTCAGCAGTCACTTTAGACCAAGACATGTCTTACATACTTTCATGACATTCGGCTAGTCCAGCGGCATGAATCAGGGGAGGAGTAAAGAGGAGGCTATGAAGGTTGAGAGAAGCTTTTAGCTATACAAAAATTAGATTGGTTCGACTGGGCAGCATACTCTAATGCTTCAGGAAGGAGTCATATCTTTGGATTAGATTCTGATTCTGGTGTTAGGACAGCCCCGCACCCAGTGATTTTCCAAGAATTTACCCCGACTCTCCTTCCACAAAAAAAACTTTCTGTTCTATTGATTGGAGAGAAGAGATTACTTATTAATGTTGATTATGTTATTGATTGAGCTGTGTACTTTATGCACAATAGTCGTGGTTTGTTGAATTGATTGATCGTGAGTTCTAACTAAAAGAAGGTTAGCCCCGCTATCAGGCTAGACAAAGACAGCAGGTACAGCTGCGGAGGGAAGCCCCACATTGCGTGGTCACTCTTGATTGGTCAATAGTCAATTATTTTTTTGCATCAGATTTTAATTGCGTATGCAGTTATCTAGCTATGAAACAATATCAAAGAAAAGTACAGAATAGATGATTCAACGTAAAGGAAAAGCACTCATGCCTCAGATTTCATTTGCAAGTACCACTGCGAAGTTATGGTGGCTTTTTCTTCACCCCAAGTCAACCCTTATCCAACCCTTATCCGTGAATACCCACCCAGGGGAACGTCTCAAAAACCCTGAGTTATCCAGACATGCCTCCATCATCCATTGGCTTTTCTCCGCGCGAAATGTGGTCTGAAGCGTGTCCTTCCAAAGCGAAGTAGATGCCTAGGAAACTCAGACTACATCAGACACCACCAGGAGACGGACCGCGGCACATTCTCTCGTTGTCATGTGTTTATAGTGCCAGCTGCACTCCCTCAAGCAAATTCTTGGCGCACACAAAGCTCAATTCGTGAAACTCCTTGCCGAAATTCAAATTCACACGCTCGTCGAGACTGTATCCATCTTCTGCATCGTCTTGTAAACTTGCCCTGATCCCTCTCACGTCCATCCCAAAGAGCTATCTCTCAGATTTGTGCTCCACGCTTTGCCTCTCCGTCGGGTATAAATATCGGCGTGGGCGTGTATTTGGTGACCGGCTGAGGCCAGAGAAAGTCGACGAGAGGCGTGGTCATTGAAACGAGGATGTACTATGTCGTACTTGTAGACTTGATGAAGCTTAGTTGAGAATTGGACTCATTGGGAGTGAAAGATTGACATGGTGGAGTAATTCGAATTTTTGCCTCGTGGGCCAACTTCTTTGATATTGCGAAATTTGACTGAACTTGGCTCTGGGAGAATATTTCACTCCCAGGTTCGTAGAGGACACCGCGTACAGGTGTTCAGTCTTGACCTCCTCTGTTGGGATGTAAGACGATGTAGTCAAGTCTGGGATTTTTTATTTTTGCATCAGATTTTAATTCCGTATGCAGCTATCTAGCTACGACACAATATCAGAGAAAAAGGACAGATAACATGACTCTTTGTTGTGTTATCCATGCAACCTACAATGGTACATACTTTAGGTCACGTCAAATTTTAAGAGGTTCCCCTGGGTGGGTATTCATGGATGAGGGTTGACTTGGGGTTGAGAAAAAGGGGCCATAACTTCGCAGTGGTAGTTGCAAATGAAATCTGAGGTATGAGTGCTCCTCTTGTAATTGAGTCATTTTTTCTGTACTTTTCTTTGATATTATGTTGTAGCTAGATGGCTGCATACGCAATTCAAATCTGACGCAATAAAAAAAAGGTTACGTCAAGGTATATGCACGTGACTTTGTAACTACGGTGCCTCTAGGTTCCAAAAGGTATAACTTCAAACTGGATCGTTGAAGGGATTAGCCATGTAGGCGCAGTTGGGCTAGCTCGTAATAGGTTAGTATTTCCATCCTCCTTACCCCGCTTGCCATGAAGTATGGTCCGGAGGGCAAGACTGAACACCTGTACGCGGTGTCCTCTACGAACCTGGGAGTGAAATATTCTCCCAGAGCCAAGTTCAGTCAAATTTCGCAATACCGAACAAGGTGGCCCACGAGGCAATGATTCAAAATACTCCACCATATCAATCTTTCACTCCCAACGAAATCGATTCCTACCTAAGCCTCATCAAGTCTACAAGTACGACCTAGTACATCCTCATTCCAATGACCACACTTCTTTTCGACTTTCTTTGGCCTTAGCTGGTCGCCAGATACACGCCCACGCCGATATTTACACCCGATAGAGGAAGCAAAGCGTGGCGCACAAATCTGGAAGACAATTCCTTGGGGTGGATGTGAGAGGGATCAGGACAAGTTGATAGGATGATGCAGAGGATGGATACAGTCTCGAAGGGCGTGGAATTTTGAATTTTGGCAAGGAGCTTTTACAAATTGAGCTTTGTGCGTGCCAAGACTTCGGTTGCGAGAGTGTAGGCGACACTATAAACACCGCCATGGTTGGATGGTGCGGTGGTACATCGTCTTGGTCGATCTGCCAAGTAGAGTCTGGATAGCTTGAACACATATCCCACTTGAGACAGTAGATCGCTGGTTCAAATCCAGCAAAACAAAACCACTTTTCTCGCGGCGCTGGTATGCATGGATGACGAAGGCATGCTTGGATAACCAAAGGTTTTGAAATTCCCTTTGGTGGGTACTAACGGAGGAGGGTTGACTGTTTGTGTAAGCGAACATACCTCATAGTGGTATTTGCGAATGAAATATAAAGTATGAGTATCTCTAACGTCAAAAGAGTCATCACACATGTATACATAGCACCGGTCATGTGTCATAGCTAGATAGCTGAATACACATTAAATGATTCAAAAAAAAAAAAAAAAAAGAAGTATGGTCCAATTGTGATCATCTAACAATCGCTTAGGAAAACACTTTTTCAACGACACTTTTGGCTGCCTGACCTACGCAGTCCTCGAAACCTATCATCACTATCAATTCATCCTCTATTCTAGCAGACAATGTCCTTTCAAAGTCTGCTTCAGAAACTAAAGTTTGCAGGCATCTAACTCGTGATCAATGTATTGAAATAAGAACATTAAGAAGACTTAGCTTGACACTTCAAAATATATCCGACAAACTTGGCTTCACGAGAAGGCAAATGCAATTTGCGTGTGCTCGAGAGACTGAGAATCCTATGTCTCGCAAAGGACCCTCACCAAAATTAAGCGCGGAACAAGTTGATGAGCATAAGGCTTTCCGGGAATCTCCTGAAAATCGACAGATGTGCTATTTGGAACTAGCAATAGAAACCTTCAGCCACTGGGGATGCAATGAGCATTAACTTTCAAATGCACTCAAGAAAATTGGTCACAGCAGATGCATTGCTCAGAAAAAGCTTCCGTTAAGTGTGGTCAACATGCGCAAAAGACGTATAGCGGTGATAAAGGCAAATGGAGGGTACATAAAGTATTGGGACGGAGCAGACTGATACAAAACATGAAGTACGCTTTCATTTTAGTTGCGAGCCACGCTGAGGGCTTCGACGTAGGCCTCTGCAATAGAGAGCAATTAATTTTGAAATAGATGTGTATTTGTGGATAATATCAATTGAAATTTTCAATTTTTAATTTCAACTTAGGACCATTGTACTTTTCTCATTGATTTGAAAACCATCCCCATTAATTTTGACTCTCACGGAATATCGTTGGATAATACCCCTGCACGGGTTGAATGGTGCAGTGGTACACCATCCAGACCGTTCTCCCAAGTAGATACTGGGTAGGTTGAACATCTACCCTATTCGAGACAGGAGAAAGCTGGTTCGACTCAAGTGAAACCCATACACCACTTTCTCTCGCGGTGATATCGTACTTATAGGATGATGAAAGCACACTTGGATAGCCGCAAGGTTTTCACGCTGTTCCCTGTGGCGGGTATGCATGGAAGAGGTTATACGCTGTAAGGGTTAACCTCGAGTGATATCTGCAAATGAAATCTGAGAGTGAGTGCTCAAAATGTCAAATGGAGTCACCCTACTTACAGTCTCTTATGGATGGCAAAAGTAAAATTTTCAAAATGACTGTGGTTAGATCCCTGTACATATTACCTTAATTGGTATGGTCTTCATGCAGGCCCATGTCTAGTTACTCGACTAGTTATGCAAACAAGGGGTACTATCCAATAACATTCCGTGAGAGTCAAAATTAATGGGGATGGTTTTCAAATCAATGAGAAAAGTACAATGGTCCTAAGTTGAAATTAAAAATTGAAAATTTCAATTGATATTATCCACAAATACACATCTATTTCAAAATTAATTGCTCTCTATTGCAGAGGCCTACGTCGAAGCCCTCAGCGTGGCTCGCAACTAAAATGAAAGCGTACTTCATGTTTTGTATCAGTCTGCTCCGTCCCAATACTTTATGTACCCTCCATTTGCCTTTATCACCGCTATACGTCTTTTGCGCATGTTGACCACACTTAACGGAAGCTTTTTCTGAGCAATGCATCTGCTGTGACCAATTTTCTTGAGTGCATTTGAAAGTTAATGCTCATTGCATCCCCAGTGGCTGAAGGTTTCTATTGCTAGTTCCAAATAGCACATCTGTCGATTTTCAGGAGATTCCCGGAAAGCCTTATGCTCATCAACTTGTTCCGCGCTTAATTTTGGTGAGGGTCCTTTGCGAGACATAGGATTCTCAGTCTCTCGAGCACACGCAAATTGCATTTGCCTTCTCGTGAAGCCAAGTTTGTCGGATATATTTTGAAGTGTCAAGCTAAGTCTTCTTAATGTTCTTATTTCAATACATTGATCACGAGTTAGATGCCTGCAAACTTTAGTTTCTGAAGCAGACTTTGAAAGGACATTGTCTGCTAGAATAGAGGATGAATTGATAGTGATGATAGGTTTCGAGGACTGCGTAGGTCAGGCAGCCAAAAGTGTCGTTGAAAAAGTGTTTTCCTAAGCGATTGTTAGATGATCACAATTGGACCATACTTCATGGCAAGCGGGGTAAGGAGGATGGAAATACTAACCTATTACGAGCTAGCCCAACTGCGCCTACATGGCTAATCCCTTCAACGATCCAGTTTGAAGTTATACCTTTTGGAACCTAGAGGCACTGTAAAGTAAATATCTTCCGATAAAACCTGCATGAGCTTCAAGGCGCCAAATCAGGAAAAATGAATCATATATATATATATATATATATATATATACCTCTGCTTGCATAACTAGGCGAAAAACTAGACACGGGCCTGCATGAATAACATACCAATTAAGACAGCATGTACATCGACCTAGCCCAGTCATTTTGACAGTTGTACTATTGCACCCCATAAGAGACTGTACACCGTGAGGTGTTTAGTGTGTAAAGCATGTGAGTGTATCGTGGAACAAACTAGAATTCGAAAGAATGAAGATAATGGAATCAGCGAGAGAATGATGGACTGAGGGAGAACATGATAGTCATTTCTCGTAGGAGAGAAATGATATTAAAAGGGAATGTTATAGCATTAGGCTGTGAACAACACAGGAAGTCTGGAGCAACATATCAGGAGGTCTCAACGTCTGTCCTCTCCTTGAACCTATGTTTCTTACACATGAGAATACAGATTCAAGTTTTACATAGCACGAAAACACACGGGATAGCTATTAACGAGACCTATTGTGTATATAACTTCCCCGGGAGTATCCATCGTCCTGCTCTTCTATAGTCTAGTAAATGTAACACTATTCTATTATAGCACTCATGCCTAGGATTACTGATATATCGGGTGTGGCTCAAGGCCACAGCATATATCACTAGTGTAGGGCAAGGCGTAGGGCGGCTTTTGTCTAGGCAAATTTTTTAATGTATTCTTTCATGGACTAACTCGGCCTAGAAAGCTGGCCAGATAGGTGGCACTGAGTCTTCATGGATCACACGCCCGTATGATGCCTCTTGAGTGTAGGGCTTTTGCTTGATATAAAATTGATACATAGTTAAATATCACTAGTGTACTAGTTAGGCGAGCATGTATATAGCTTCATAGATGCACCCATAATCAATGGTTAAAGGATAGATTGATTGATTTAAATATAAGTCCCTACTGAGTCCTGGACTACGAAAGACTACTTAAGGATCTACCTAAATGGCCCTTTAATTTATAGGTTTATTTGAATTTGATTTCATTATCCTGATTTGGCGCCCTATGGGCCCATGCAGGTGTCTACGATCTGTAATATTTACACGGAAGAAAACCATTATGGTGAAAACCACCCACACCTTTTTGCTTGTTGTCTCTAGTCTTCACATATTTTCTTCAGGAAGCGCAGTTACACTACATTGCCATCCATGTAAACCAATCAGTTCTTCACTACCCGCCCAAGAATTATTTGACCTTTTCCTTTCCCTTAGCATTTCGAACGCCTTCGTCATCTGGAATCGCTCTATCCAACCATGATTTAGGATCCACTTTGTTATCCTTTTGATATCTTCAGGATTGTTTATCATCGCTTCGTAGGACCGATCTTTGGCTTGTCTCTAGATCTCAGCTCTAATATTTGACCATCGGACGCAGGACATAATCATATGCTTGGGATTCTGTGATTGGTAGCCACATGGACAACCCGGACTTAATACTCCGGGTACTTTTCTTCTGTGCAAATACGAGTTAAGCCCCAAGTGCTCACTTCGTATTTGCATTGCCAAACTGCTTTGGGCCCTTGTCAGGTTACGGTGTAGGAAGAATGGTGAGCCTTGAAAACTCAATTTTTGCCGTCCAGACTCTCTACTTTGGTTATATGTGGCTACTCTCCAAGTTTCGGAATCTGCGTTATAGGTTTATTTTTTATTTGAATATTACAATTATTTGCCAGTGGGTAGAGGTTTAGTCTTATGATTCCTGTTCATATACTAACAGCATAGCATTGTATGAGTCTATTCACTGTCACCCACAAAATAAAACATCATCCGCTCCTCATCACTCAATAGTATGACTTCAGTATTGCGCATAACCACAATAGGCTCTCCTAATACCAACATCAGAACTTAGTCAGATGACACAACTACCTTTCTGATGCGTTTGAAGAAGCAGGCTAGCTGGGCACTGCAGACTTGTGGGTACCTCAGGAATTCACTCTCTGTTTTTCTAGCCTCTTTCCCATAGATCATGTTGAGACGTTAGAGAGATGAAATAATCAAAGGCCTAAGTCTTGTATAAATATATAAATGTATGAATAGATGAGTATATGTGATATGTACTGCTTTTAGAAGGGAGCTAAAATTGGGCTTTAGTAGAGGAGGTCCTACCCGGGTTGTATTTCAGGGCGGTAGTCAGAAAGAGTCCACATGCCTGTATATCCATTGAATGATGTGAATAATTTGTGGAAAGTAATTCGGGTATTGTGGTTAAACCTGAATATTCTTGTAGCAAACTAGAGTTTTTGTTTTTCCGACGTCGTGGTCCATACAAAATTCCAAACAAAACTAAAGCACTAATCCCGATATGTTTTCTATTCTCTTAAATTTTATGCCATAAATTTGGTGTAGAGAATACTAGAAATGAAACTAATGTTTTTAAAATACACAGTACACTTTCGTAAGATGCTAGTTTGAGGATGCCGCTTTGATGAGCTTCAGAATCTCAGACTCATTATCTCCAGCAACAACTCTACCGCGAGCCCAATCAACAGTCTACACAGTTTCAGCATGTGCTCACTCTTTAATTTCAATTAATTTTACCAAGGGCCTCTGAAAGCTATCATTGTTAGCCTTGAGCTTTTTCCATGCGTCAACAGTATCAGTAGCTCCTTTGACAACATTCCCTATGTTCGCTATGCCAGTATATTCAAAAATACTTCTCAATTGATCTTGAGTTGGCGGTTCTTCATTTACCTCTAGCTCGAATGGATCCCTGATTGGAATTGCGTCTGGTCCAGATGAGGTTTGACAGGCTTTTTGGCTTGCGTTGATAGATGCCCGCCTCAGCAGTTCCTGGACACGCAGTGAAGCAGGTGAACCTGGCTTGTGAAAAAGCGTAATCACGTCCAAGGTTTTGTGCTAGAGCCAGTCCGCGAGTTAGCTCGTAATTCTCTCGATAAGGTTTGGTCTCAATTGATGAGTGACATATTAACTTACGAATCTGAACATTCTAGGTTTTTGGTTGAAATTATCGATAATTTTTACCCATGGATTGGGAAATTATCGTGTTGTTCTACATCGCCTTGTGACGTGGTCGTAGCTCTGTATCTAAATTTAGTCATCGATGATGTTGTCGTGGTGAAAGCTTTCATCCTTGCCCAGTCTGTAAATATTAATAAAATTTGTAGCCGCTGCTCGATGTCAAATATTCCCAAATTGTCTGAAAAACCATGCCACCTCTAATATTACACCATGTTCCAGATGAAGAGCTTTACACTGGTGATGATGGACTTCAGAGGCCCTACGCCATGTTATTTGGAGGGTATGTCTGGACCGAAGGATATAAAAATTTCAAAGTTTAATTTACTGATGAGAATTCTACAGCGGAAATGATGGGAATAATTCGAGTGTACGGTCAAGGAGGCTAGTTCCAGAGACTGGATCATTCGGGAAATCTACAAGGCGTTCAAGATCACGAACAGGTACTCCAGCTGCCAAAAAAGAAGACCCAACTCTAGCAGCAGCGGATGCAATTTTCACTCAATTTCTGGCACAGAAAAGTTGCGAAAACTCAGACTCAACTCAGCGAACCTCTAATTTAAATTCTATTTCTCAGCTTAACCTTTCGAGTGCTTCATGTGGCCAGAACGATGGTAATACTGTAATTTCGAGGTCTACAAAACATCGGGATAAAGAACCTACAGAAGTTATACTGCGCGGCTTCAGATCTTCACAACAATATGCGGCGATACGAGAATATGAACGAATAGCTGGTAGAATCTGTGAAGACTATCCCCGAGACCCGCCCGTTGACCAGAGAAGATACAAAGCTGACCTGCGCGATCCTGCTTCCCTGCGTAAAAAGCCGTTAACTATTGAAGAAAAGTTGAAATCTAACAAATTTGCCGGGGGAGAACATTGGATCAAAGTTACCTTCGAATGTGCTGAATTCGCCGAGACTGCGATTGAATGTTCACCACAAAAGATACTTGGCCATTGGGTCTTTGCAGAAATATATCGAGGCGTTCCGCCAAACCTTGACGAAATGATTCCTGTTGATAATTCAAAAGCTACTGATCCGAATAAATACGAGATGTCTCTCAGACTAGGAGCAGCACCTGGATTAGATGTCGTATCAAGTAACCTGCATACGAGCTTAATTGAACCATCCAAGAACTACGCAGCGATTGAACTCGAAGATGAGGACATCTCCCCTTTCGTCCCTCAGATGTTGAATTTATCTGCAGGTAGTAGCACTGCTAAGGAAGGTTATCCAACAGTAAAAAAAGTTAGTCCACCAGCCGGAGAATTCTGCCAACGAATACCATCAGCCCGGAGAATGACACTTCTCCCTGCTGAAGAAGCATTATTACCACAATCATCTCCATTTCAGAGATTTTTAAGTAATCTTCCATTTATTGGCTGGATTAGCAAAGATATCATAGGTGGTGCGCTACCAAGAACAGAGCAGGGAGATTTTGACTATAAGAACGCTAGTATATACTGGAGATTAATGTGGCTTATTCAGAGATGCACCGGAATTGTGCTTTTAGGTGACTCCAAGGAAGACTAGGTTATAAACAATTATAGGTTATTCATTGTTAACTCCAAGCTTAATAGGCAGTTTTACATGCTCCGGAGAGTTTTCTTCCAATTACTAATATATTTTTGTGTTCATACTTTTAACACTAAGAGATGCAGCTACTAAATTAAAGCCTCGGAGATGTAAGGGTACTTATCGCAAATAGCTCTCAAGTCCCTGAATGTCACAGATGTTTATTAATAGTTTAGAAATATCTTATAATGTAAGAATCTCGAATAGGACCCTATACCTCTCTGTAAATTTTATAAATTATTAGAGGATTAAATTAAGGATTTAAAGTATCAGTAAGCTTAGTCAAAAACCTTACTCTCATCATCACCTCCGTTTCCTTCACGCCATGGTGATGCGATAATATCCCCATCTGTGTAGTAACTCTCTATTATGTTGCAATTTTCGACCTTTTGGGTTTGAGCGGGCTCTAACTTGCTCGTAGTGCCCTCTTCATCCAGTACTTTATTATCATTCTCTTGAACTTCATGGTTTTGCACTTTTAGAGCCATTGTTTTTTCTTTACAACCAGCTGTAGCATCTTTTGTGCATTCCATTCCCCCGAGAATAGGAAGGAGGAAGTTTGCAATACGAGGACGATTGAGGATGCCAAGGTTCTTATCATTTTCCGAAAATATGGACTTATCATCTTCTTCACCGCTGGTTCCAGCTAGGGATTGATATCTGCAGTTTAAGTGATTACTTTTGGGTGGCTGTGGCTCTTGATTTTGTTCAAAATTTTCATTAGTTGGGAAGACGCTTGCAAATAGCGGACTTGTTGAAGAAATCTGGTCACCTTGGTTGGCTCGTGTCATTCCATCTTCATCAGCGAACAAATCGCGGCCGTTGTTCAGAAGTTCATCCAAGCCACAGCCATGCCAACTTTTACGCGCCAAAGTATTAAAGATGTCAACCTCAGCCCTGACAATACCAGCGCTACACTCTACGATTGCTCGCGACATATCCTGACAATCCCTAACCATAGCCCTACCATGACCGCCACTTAATCCAGTCAAGATATCGATCTTTTGCGTCAGGGCTACTAGATGCTGGCGAATGTGGCCTACTTCTCTTCTACGAGTTTTGTGTAATTTTAAGCCCTCTTTCTCCATATCACGGATCTCTTTTGTCATTGCTTTGACTTCACGTTGGTATTCAATCTCTTCCTCTTCCATTCGTCTTTGCCACTGATCAAATTCATGTAAAAGAGGTATTTCAAAGTTTTTGTAGATTATTTCGGACAGAATTTGTTGGTGGTTCGCGATCAACTGATGCAAGCCAGATGCTGCAAGTAGTGAGTCTGCCGTACAAGTTCTCCGTCTCCCGCTATTAGTAGTTTCAGTATGCCATCCTCTTGCTAAATTTTCCTGAGAACTTTCTTCTGGCGCCTCGTTTCGAGCTTCTTTGAGTCTTGCGCAAGCCTCTAGCGCGCTTCCAAAAGTACTAGCGGAAAGACCGAGTTCAGCAAGAGAGATCCGGTAAGTTTTAGCAGATTGTAAAAGGACATTATACGCATTCTGTGAAGCCTCCAAGTCAGACATTTTTAGCATTGGATATTGACAGGCTTGGGGTGGTGGTGGGAGGTTGTAACTACTAGGGAGGTCCGTTGAAGCGTAAGAGTAGGATGGTGAGCCAGGAATTGGTAGCAAGAGGCTGGGAGATAGCGGATCATGGGATTCTGTCATTTTTGAAAATTCACAGTGAACTGTACATGCAGAAGAAGTATCTTCGGATTGGGACCTTGAGATTTCATGTTGTCCCATGAGCTCTAATGTAAATAAAGACGGATAAGCATCCCTGCCTAGCGAGCTGGAAAACCGATAAGACTTAGACCCCTCGTTTAGCCAACTCACTCTGTGCTCTTTATCAGACTGTTGGCAAAAATGTCATTTCCTGCGCCAATTATCATTCCTGCTGTGCGGAAGCATACAGCAACAGTCATTGTCGCTCATGGTCTTGGTGACTCGGGCGATGGCTGGGTCTGGCTCGCAGAAAATTGGCGTCGACGCCACAAGTTTGAGGAAGTGAGATTCATCTTCCCTCACGCGCCGAAGATACCCATCTCCATGGTTCGTCTATTGTCTTCCATTATATGCATAGCTGATGGTAGAAGAATATGGGGTTATCCATGCCTGGATGGTATGATATTGTAAGATTGCTCGAGGCCATGCAACTGGCACCCACTCATTTTCTACTATTAATGCATAGAAAACTAGACACAACTCACTGATCTTCAAAGCGCTCAAGATGAACCGGGAATCCTACGCTCAAGAACCTATCTTCATAATCTCATTAACTCGGAGGTTTCGGCCGGCATACCAGCCGATCGTATTGTGATAGGAGGCTTTTCTCAAGGAGGTGCCATGGCTATTTTTTCGGGTATTACCAGCCCAAACAAACTTGGCGGTATATTTGGGCTTTCATGTTACCTTTTGCTGCATTATAAGATTCAACAATTTGTCGCCGAGGCAGGGGATACGAGAGACACCAGGATATTTATGGGACATGGCGATGCGGATCCTCTGGTAAAGCCTGAGTGGGGAAGAATGTCAGAAAGTTTTCTGAGTAACATGGGATTCAATGTTGATTTGAAAATGTATCCGTGAGTATTCACAATGTTTTAACGGTCAGGAAACACATTCTTACAAGACTAGCGGACTAGCGCACTCTGCTGATCCACAGGAAATAAATGATTTGGAGGGCTTCCTCAATTCAGTCATACCGCCGTTCGAAAAAGACTCTAACTAGCGGCTCATGTGGGAAAACGCTGTTGTGGCAAGAAAAGGTATTCAATAGACTCAGAGGCCTGGGGTAGTTAGCTTTCGTGGAGCATACTAAGGCTAGCGCTAGACGACAAGATTATGGTACAAGGATTTCACACTCTCTGTTATCTTCTACTGACGGGAGGGGGCGATGGCAGAAAGGCAATGTTTAGTAACATTATGATATGAACTTAGCAAGTAGTATTCTTTGTCGGCCCACAGCTCTAACTATACCTTCTCGTGGCGACAGAAATCTCCGATAGAATGGGCTAAGGATAGAAGAAAAAATTATGTTTCTTTTGATGCCGGGAGTGGAGTGTATACGGGTACCAAATTGATGCATGCAATGATTAAAAATGAACAAAAGATCTTATGGTTACCATGCCAGGCACGTAGATCCACAATCAACGGAGAAGGATCGATCGATCCGCAAAATAACAGACCCCGCGTGTCCTCCTGCCCCGAGCACAAAGTGGTAAATAGAACCTTCTCATCATTGATGGAATGAAAGGCTAGGGCTAGTAGACTATCGACTTATTGACATTCATTTAAAGGCTTTTATTCGATACGGGTCAGCTATGCGAAAGATCAATACTCTGACTTATTAAAAATTGAATTGTTATTATTCATGGCTATTCATCCGCGTACTGCCCTGTAGCTGGGTGCTCCTTCACTAGGGGTCAGCGAATAGTTAAGGGCCCATGATTTGAGATTTCCCTCATGACGACTCCGCGCTATAACCGGCGTTACCCAGTATTCTGCCAGGGTTCCTGGATATATACAGGGCCTAAAGCGGTTTAACCGTTTTACTTGTCCGTGGAACAAAGCGAGTTGATGCAAATTGTTCTAGAATATGCGCATTCACTAGGATAAGGGTCATCCCTCCGCGCTTGCCGCCGTACTTTCACGACGTTGATCGACCGAATATGTTCAGCGAAACATTGATTGTGTAAGCGAGAGCTTGATGATATTAAATTTTATTAGATATTAGGTACAGCAGGTGCCCTATTGAGTGTCTCGAGTTAACTTGTACCTGATTTTACGGGTGTTATTGCAGTCCGACATGCCGTGGCTTAGAAATTGCTAGTTATCTACCCGACAACATCTTCGGATCGAACGCCATGGCCAGCTAATCTAAACTGATGTAACTACCGGCGTCACAGTTGTGGACAGTTTCTTTCTCCAAGTAGTCTGCCACAAACACCTTACATCAAACGCACGTACAACCCCATTTAAAGCAGTCATTCATTGGTAGATACATTGTTATCTCACATGACAAGCTAACATTAACAAAGATGAAGAAAATAGTAACAACAGTAATATCAATCACCAGAAATACCAAAATAGACGCAGAGAAGAGTTGCGAACGGCGCCCTGAGGGCATCGGGTCTACCAGTTCATGGACAGGACCGGCACGACGTGGCTTTACGTTAGCGGGAGCTAGGGTTGACAGGGATAAAACAGCTACGAAGACGAATCCTGGCTATTGATGGTTTTACGGTGCCAGGAAAGACTGACGGCGGCTCCTCCGAGTCCAATTAAAATTTACTAACAGTCCATATCCCTGCCCCCTCACGTCCTCTCACGCGCGCTGTCATACGCTTACACAACTTCTTCCTCCGGCAGCCGATCAACGTTTGGCCACAAATGTCTCTTTCTTCGTCATACGCCTTACCTCGTCACGAATTCTCATCTCGCCCAGCGTCCATTGACACTCAACCCCTCTAATACCCTCCTATTTGAACGCTACAGGACATTCAATTGATCTAAGGCGGGAAAAGAGCCGAGACTTCCAAGAAGAAGGATATCCAGTGTCTTGATCGCAAGAGCGAGAAAAAACAGCTTGGCTTCAACTTAGACACCTTTATAGACTACCTTTTCCATAAAGATCTGGTCATCTCGAATCAAGCTTCTTAGGACTGGCAGCAACTCTCGCTGGGGAGTACCCCCCAATATCCGACCATTACGCTCAGTTCTCGTGAGGATACAGATCTTCAAGATGTTACAATTTCTCTTCCCACCAAAATTATCATTGGCGAAATCCCTCGTTTTCCTGACTCTGAGTAAAATTTTGCCGACAGTTTGCGCTACAGGCTCTACCCCACCAGAAACCATCGTAGGAACAAACGCTGCGGGAGTTAGTACTGCATTACTCATCGATCGTGATCCTGCTCTATACACAGGTAACTTTGGTGATTGTATGGGGGGACAAAGCTTAATAAATTTGACTTCTTTCGATGCTGCCTACTATGCCGATAATATGACTGTCTTATTTAATATGGCAGGGACGACAAGCCTTCGAAACGAGACACTAATGTTATATATTTCCGTCGAAGCGTATGGAGAAAACCGCTTTAATATGGTATTCAATCCATGCAATGCTAATTTTGGAAGGTCAGGAATGCTAATTATATGGGATGCTTGACTTGCTAACTGAATCTAGTCTTTGTCCACTGAACAGTAGTATACCCATTCGAGGCCAAGCACTAATTCCAGTATCCAGCTCCGATGTTGCTGGTATCCCGAGTATTGCATTGAATATTCCTGATTTTGAAGGCTCTGCTATTCTTCGAGTTTTCTCAAATTCATCTCAGGCCCAAATAGCTTGCTTTTCGGCAGTTATGAGAAATGGAGCGAGTCTCTCGCATCCCGCTGCAGTCGGGTCAATTCTTGGAGTTTTCACACTTGTCGCAATTATAGCATCATTCTCAACTGCAATCTATGGGCTTCATATCCCCAGCATAAGAACACACTATGCACATTCGCTCTCTGTGCTAGTAATAGCTGAAACATTTCATTCGATATTTTTCTCTGGGGCTCTCTCTCTTAATTGGCCTAGTGTTTTAACTGCCTGGTGGAGTAATTTTGCCTGGACTTCTGGCATGGTTCATGCTCCAATAATCATAAAATCACTGAACAATTTCGCTGGAATATCTGGGAATTCAAGTCAAGCTGGCGGAGCTGGGTCAACAATTCTCAACAATAACGGCGGCCTTCAACAACAGATTTATGGACGGTCGCTATCTGAAACCACCACAACACTTGTCAAAAAAAGTCAAGAAATTACTCACCATCTATATCGTAGGAACAATGAAAACCAAACTGACGCGAAGCTATACGAATGGGCAGGTGTTCCCGTCTATCCAGGGCTCCCTCTCCCAGGAAACTGGTCAGGCTTCCCAGGAGAGCTGTCTATGGTAGGTGTGCCTGCCGCCGATGCATTTCTGAATGGTTTTATTTGGCTCCTTATCCTACTTCTAGTCATCAGTGTAACTCTAGCTTTGCTCAAATACTCAATTGAAGCATTAAGTGCTGTAAAGGCTATTTCAGAAGATAGCCTAAAGTTGTTTCGTACCTATTGGCTTGGGTTTCTTGGACTAGCACTCCTTCGAGCAAGTTTAATCTCATTCTTCATGATAATGACCCTCTCTCTCCATCAATTTTCCTATGGTGGAAATACTGGATCGATCGCATTATCTGCAATAATCTTCATGGTTTTCTTTGCCGGTACTCTAGCTATTTGCTTTCATGCCTGTTTCTATCGTATGCGGTCTTGTCAGTACATCCATACATCTGAAAGCGTCCAACTTAAAAAAAGGGCTCTATCAAAACTATTACCTCCAGCTTGTCCCGGTAAAAAGCCAACCAGCAAGGAAAATGGGAATCTCCAGCCCGTAGACCCGGGTTCATTCAAACAACTAAAGTCTATCAGTGAAGACAACATCGAAAATCAAAATGTACATCTAGATATTGAATATATCAAACTATATGGATGGTTGTCGGCTAGATATAGGCGAACCAGATGGTGGTTCTTTGTGCTATGGGTTGTTTATCAATTTGTTCGCGCATGTTTTGTTGGAGGTGCTCGTGGAAGCCCTGCAACACAGGTAATTGGTCTCTTTGTTTGGGAAATTGCCGCTTTCATTTTGATAATCATTGTCAAACCCTTTGAAGGGGCTAGAAACACGGCACTTGCAGTATGGACTCTCGGAATCAGTAAAGTGGCTACCTCTGGGCTCTCAATTGCTTTTTTACCTCATCTAAAACTTACCAGAATTGCGACGACAGTCATTGGAATTATCATAGTTATTATTCAAGGATTTATGGTACTAGAGCTCTTGATTCTAATTATACTAGGAGCTATATCAAGCTACATTTCTGTGACGCGGGACCGGAAGGTATTTAAGCCAGAGAGACTGAAGGACATTCGTCAGAAATACTTCGATCATCTTGCAGAGAAAGAAAGGGACATCCCTCTTCCACCGCCTCCACAGCCGGAACAACCAAAGGAGCCTTACTTTAGCGTCAACACTGTGCGTCGTGCTCCAAAAATCGAAGATGAAAATCTAAGTCTCCATTCGAGTCTTTACCATGGCAATAATTCGTTAACTTCTCTTACACGATATGATCAGATCAATCGCCCATTCAGCAGAACCGTTAGTGTAGCTGGAAGCGTGCAAAGTCATTATTCTAGGTATAGCACTATGCCCCTGGGAACACGTGCCCACAACGCTAGCTGGGGCTCACGAGATTTCAAAGAATGGCATCCGAACGACGCTAGCCGAGTCCACACACCAGCAATTATAGAGGGCGGTAACAATACATATAATAGCTCAATACCGATGGCCCTATTAGTCCGACCTTCTGCTTCTATCGGTAGCTTAAAGCTGGTGTCGCCATCAGTTGAGCAGCAAAAACAATACGCAAGCCAACGGACAAATAGCATATCGAATAGATAAGACAAGTAAATAATGAGGTCATGAAAAGAGGTTAATTTTGCTTGATAGCGTGGATTCTGGAGTTCAAGTTCAGCGCAACTCATAGTCGCCCAATCATAATCACTTCCATTTTCCTTTGTCTATAGATTAGACGGTCATTCGGTTATCTTGACACAAATGTTTATGAGGCATGGGTCTACAATGGTGGCGTTGAGGGTTGGCGAGGGGATACTCATATGATTGCGAGGAGTCTTTATGTTTTGACCTTAGAAAATTGACTAGATTACACTTGAAGACCTTTGCTGACCTATCATAATCTGATTTAATGATGCGAGTGCATAACAAATTATTCGTCTTTTCAATCGAAGCAGAACTTGCATGATTAGCGAGGCTCTGAATTGATATTCCATTAGCTCGAAATTATTTCACATGTTTTCCCTACTATCACGCAACATATTCACTTATTGTCACCAGATGCCTGATCATATTTGGACTCTAGCCCTAAGACCCTTCAAGTCATCGGCCCTGAAATATTCTCACAAAACTTCAAAATTTTATGACCAATTCATGAGAGACAATTTTTATCTGTAGCGCATAAGTTCGATTACAATTTCGGCAAGATGTTTTATAGTCATGAAGGTATAAGTACTTGTTTTGTAAGATGACGACTCAGGATTAATGATAGTAGTCTTGACAAATCGAAAACATGGCGTCGCAACAATTTGGTACGCTTTTTAACCTTTTAAAAATTTAGGGCTGGACATGACACAGAACAGAGCTGCTAATGGCTTAGTTAAAATAAATTATAATCGACTAATACAGGTCATAGGCTCGTTGCCACATTGGGCTCCAAATCACGAACCAAAAAGGTGACGCGCAAAGCTATTTTAGGAGTCAACCTCAAGAAGGCTTGCGAAACAATCATTGAGCCAGAAGCGCCCATGGCACTTAGACTACAGAGCAATTTGTTGTACGTCAATAAATTCAACTTAATGTATAGGGAACTGATCTCGCTCTAAGATATGGGGTTACCCGTGTCTACACTCAAAAATGGGATTATCTACTTACTGATGCGCAAGCGGTCCACTACAATATACGCTCATTTTTTAAAACATCTCAAGGCCATCAGATTGATAAGAATGCCGGTAAAGCTAGGTGGGTAAGAATGGGCTGTAGGGAATTCATACTGATTGAATCTAAGGCCCGAACAACTTGTGTTAGCGGATGATCCGGCTTTTGTAGTTGATAGCCTTCTTGTACCCCCACCACTTGACCTTGAGGGGATGGGACTAAGAAATTCTCATGGCTCTTCTCAGTCGATATTTTCTATTTCACAGAGAAGAGATTCTGCTATATCAGATGACAACAGTTCTGTCATCGGACTGAATATACCAACCTCAAGCCATGATGGAATGAGTCCTTACCATGCTCCCAGCCATAAATCAATAGGAGATTCAGTCATCGCAGAGGAGGGTGTATCGCATAAAGCAGTTACTGAGGACGAAGAAAATTTGCTTCTACAAAACGATGACTTATTTGAGATTGATGAGGATGGAATTATTCGTGAGCTAACTGGTCATGAAGAGCGACGGCATAGCTTCGACTCGATGAGCCCAGGTGGGGGTGGACACATTCGTAAGATGCATCTTGATGGTACTGTGGGTCATCGATTTCCAGACCCATCTCTAACCAGTAAAAATGTGATTCACGATAATGTTACTAATGAATATATGAGTGGTAATGGGAATCCAACTTCACATAATACCACAGCCGACATTGAGCTTGAGAATCAAATCTCCGATCCCGAAAACATTTCTCACTTGTCAGTTAAAGCGCTACAGAGGCCTCGAAAGTCTAGGACTAGAAAAAACTTTGCTACTGCAGATATAATTACGGAGCTCGGAAACACAGAAATTAGTCGAATGATGTCGGATTACCCCGAAAACATGCTGAATCAGTCTTTACTCAAGACTCGGGCCAAAGTTCAGGCAGAGTCAAAGAGAGTTGCTTACTACTACGTTTTTGGATACGGAATTAATTCCATCGGTGAAGCAAGAAACTCATACTCGCAGAAGAATCCCTTGGACCAATTCCATGGTGACGACCTTTCAAGAGTGATCCGCGGTCAACAGGCCATGACACCTGCCATTAGTAAGAAACGTGGCCGTTTAGGATCTGACAATATCGCGTCTGCACCTGCCAAACGAGCCCGTAATTTTGACTCAGAGCAAGGCCGAACAGCTTTCCCAGCTGACATGGCTCAGAATATACCTGACGAATCATTTCAGTCTCACATGGATGATGGTTCTCTAGAATTCGGTCGAGATGCTGCGTCGGCTCTAAAAGACCCCCCCTCGTCGAGCGTTATGCCCTGGAATATTTCTGCATCGGCCCTTTCGTACCAGCGCTCTGGGAATCAGCGGCACGCAAGTCATCTATTGGCGGCTTCCCCACTTATTGGGCGCGGATCTACATTTGCCAATGATTTGAACAGGTTGCTTCCAGGCCAGGATGAGCTCATAGGCTTGCCAGAATACGACACAGGAAGTTTCCTTCTGCCAGTCAAACCCTTGGAATATAATCACCAGGTTTCAGATCCTCGCCCCAGAGAGGGTGTGGGTCTTGCTAAGAGTGGCACTACTATGGAGCCAGGCGCTCATCAAAGAGAATGGCTTCCCGACACACTTGATGAGGAAAGCTCGAAATTTCTCGCTTTTGTGCAGAGTCAATTCCATTTTAAACAGAGGGTAGAGTTTGCGGCGCTTGTGAGCCCTACAACTTCAAGTGCAGTCGTTGCAGCTCACGCCTTTTACCATGTACTTAACCTCGCAAACCAGCAGCTGGTTCGCGTCACACAACGCGACTCTGCAGTCGGCAACATAAATGGAGCTATTCTCATTACTCCGTGCCGCTAGGATAGAGATATTCTGATAGTATTTTTGGCTCATGTCTGGTTGGATCATCAACGCTCGATTTTTGTTCAAGTACCTGGATCTGTGACTAATTCTGATTCTCAAGTCTGATGAGACACTTTCACCTGTGATTTGGTCAGCATTAGATAGAAAATTGCGAGCTAAGCTGATGAAGTTAGACGTATTCTAAATATGAACTAGGTGTATTGCTAGATACGGGTTTGGGTTGGAAATTTCCATGCTGAATCTCCGTTAGGGAAGGCTTCGTAGTTATGTGATCACATTATATCGTTGAATTTAGAGATCTAGTTACAACGCAGCATATAGAACTTGCGATTTTAAAATTTTGAAATAGGGAATTGAACTGTATTCTTATTTAATTTAATTCGCTAGGTTACGTATCATTCGCTTGGACAACCTTATCACTCGATAGGTTACCGTTCCAAATGGCCGTACATTTAGCCAAGCCTCGCCCGTTAATATACTGTCCCATGTACTTCTCCTTTTGTTAGAAGGATGATCGCACCCAAGTCTGATAACGCAGCAGCCGTTGAAATGACTTTATTATTTTAGTCCGTTCTTAGGTTCAGTTACTCAAGAAGTTGGGATTGATACAAATTGACACGCCCATACAGATTCATTATCTGAGCTGATTAGCTTGCATAGAGCTACCTCCGATAATCTTGTACCGTCACAAATGGCTTAAATTATATTAGTCATCGTATAATCTTTTTCTATTAAAGGATACGGGTGTATTGCGGGTAACAAGTTAGCCGAGTTAACTCATACTTTCGTCCATATATTTCATGCGATAAATTTCTGAAGGGAATGCAAGAATGAAAAAGTAGGTATATCAATCTGCTAGGACGTAGTGCTTGGGTTATATGACCCTCGTTGAATCGACTTCATCCAGTCTGCGTATAGTATAGGAAGATAGGATTTATTGATTGTTATTGCGTGTCCCGTTGAAATGATGTAACTCTTGTTCAACGAAAGGCTATGATAACCAGACAGTAGTTCCTACAATGCTCATGGAAGCATTGAGCGCGTTTGTATCTTCGGCGCGATATAAAGCAAAGAAAAGCGTGAAATTTAGTCGGTGGGCTGGGGGGTGATGCAGGGACTGGGGATGCTTAAATTTGGGTAGGGGAGCGTGTTGGATGATTTTGTGCTATACATTTGTTGATGTACTCAACTTTTTGGTCGAGTATCTTACTCAGTCGACTTCGACGAGCATTCAGGTTAGATGTGCTATTGAGAGATTTTGATTATGCTGGGGTTGGGGGGTTAACGGGTTGGAAAAACAATCAAACAAAAAAACCCATTCTACGATGATCGGGGACAGGTCCCTCTCTCATGACCAGCCGACAGCGACATAACGTATTGGGCGGTTTAAAAGAAATGCGATACTGCGTAATTTAAGGTCGTGTGATGCCCAGACTCTTGTTCTCACAGGTCGCTTATAGACAAACTCTCCTATGTAGACCTTTGTTTTGAACTTGAGACATATCGAAATAATCAGGTCTGTTGAATACCCTCAGTACCACCAATTTGACGCTTAAGTTGTTCGCGGGCCCATCGAGCTGTCTCGATCGTGCGAGGTTGATATTCACGATTTTTGCGAGTATCTTTTATCATCTGTGCCAGCCATTCTGCTCGGTAGAAATTCGAAAATTCACCATGGGGGAAGGCGTCGGCGAGGTCACCTATGACACCCATAGATGATCGCATTAACGCATCACTCTTATTCTGATCTATAGCGACGGTATTAAGAAGGGAAAATACCGATTCGACATATGTTTGTAACAGAGCAGCTTATAAGTTATCAGCAGGTTGCATGTTACACGTGAATGGATGACTTACTCTTTCCATCAGACTTCATAGCTCCTATAATCCCACCCCACGCATCCATGATCCCCTCCCGTAGAGAGACGACGTAGTCAAACATCTCGTATGAGCCATCAGGGCCTGCTTGCACACTTGAAGCTTGCTGTAGGACTTGTGCAACTACGGATAGGTAGGTTTCAAAGTGACCACCAATAGCGCCTGCAATATCGCCGAAGCATTGAAGAATTGCTGGTTTGAACTGGTTGGCAAGCGCGGTACTCTGGTAAATAAGTTAGCCTTATTACAAAGATACTTTTAACTTATGAAGTTTCAATGAAGTTAACGCTCACATACCCTCAAGTTGTTTAAGAGATAGTTCATAAAAGTGTCACAGTATGGTTGGCAATGAGGTCCCATTGAGCGGGTAATATCACTAACTAGCCCGATAGCCATAGAGCATAGAGCAGGTTCTTCTTGGTTACCAAGTGCGTTGTAAAGATATGGTGAAAATGGTTCCATATAGGCACCGAAGCCGTCTTCTAATGCATTGGCTAATCCACTCACAGCAGCGAAAACTGCATCTGGAACGCTGGACTTGGCATTGGTTGTAGATAGGATCTGGAGTAAGACAGTCATGATTTGGGTAGCTAGTGGGGCAATTTCTTTCTCTAAACGTTGTAAAATGGCCAACAGAACGGTACACAAGCTAGTTTGCATCTCTTCGAGTGTAATTTTATCTTCTATACTGACAACTTGGCTCTGTAGAGGGATTGTTCCTTCGAGGCGTTTAATGATAACTTCAGAAAGTGAAGCGACTGCTGGTAGGTTATCATTTGCAGCGTTCTGAACGAACGTGTTCAGCACCTCATATGCTGCAGTTCTAAGTTGGTTGTCGGCATCAGGCCTTTCGGTGACTTGAAGTAAGTTTGAAATACTATCGTTAAAATGGGGCGTTAATGCATTCTGTTGGCAACCAATTTCGCCAGAAAATCTTTCTGCAAGATTCATCAGTGCCCAGCAACACGAACCAGCCATCTTAGGGTTGGCCACAAGACCTTCGAATAGTGACTTGATTAGTTGTGGAAGTAGACTTTCCGTCTCTATAGCATCTGAACATGCCTCTGTGATACGACCAAGGGCATAGGCTGTAGAATCTTTGACATGTATCACAGGATCTTCCATCATTTTTATCACGACAGGTAAAGCTTGCTTTACGATAGGAGAGATTACTTTCTCTTCAGGTCCTTCCATAATAGCACCAAATGCAGAGACAGCGGCATCTCGGTTATGCCAGTCTTCATGACGGAGGTTAGCTTCGACAAAACTGAGAACAGGCTGGATTATTGTTCCACCGACACACTGTGCGTAAAGTTGTAGACATTGATAAGCAGCTCGAGAGATATTATATTCGTCATCTCCAGCGTCTTCATCTTGCTTTGTCAGGAGATTTAGCAAGACTGGGACAACTTCTGTGGTAGCAATTACGCAAAAGTGGAATATTTCTCGCATCTGATCGGCATTTTCAATCTATTTTGATGATTGTTAAATAGGATTTGATAAGGGGTAGTTAATTACCTGTGCGTTGTCATCCTCGATCGCTATTTCTTCTTCACACACTGTGCTCCAGAATTCAACGGCAAGCTTGGCGACATCCTCTTCGGCGCTCTTCATTCCAGAAATTGTAAGGCCAAAGAGAGCCTTCTCCATGTAGAAGCGCATGAACTCGTAGTAAAGCGCCATGATCCTATTTAAACATCCAAACGCTCCCTGTTGTATTCGGATGTCAGGAGACTGAGTTGCCTCGCAGATTACCTGCATGATGTAATTGCGTTCTCCCTCATTTTTAAAGTTGCTATCCACGAACTCAAGCGAATCGCCTAGAGCGTATATGGCGGCCAAACGGACCTCAGGGTTTGGTTCCTCTTTCCTTACACCCTGAACGACGGCGGTAAGAATGGCGTTCGAGTGTTGGGCAAGGCTAGCTCGTAATTCTGCATCTTGACTCTCACAAATAAAACCAATCGTTGTTAAAGAAGTTTGCTTTAAGTGGTCGCCACCCTCTCCGACGTTCTGAACGAGGCTAGGCATAAGACCGGGCCAAAGATTGCGGGGTAGTTCGATGGCTGCTATTGATGCTACAACTTGCGCCGCGGCAGATCCGGCTTGGCTATTATTTGATGCTAGAGCGCGAAGTGTTAGATCTCTAACATGTTTCTTTGTCTCCTCGTCTAATCGAAGCCATTTTTCTTGCAAGTCGTGTAAGCGTGCAAATTCTCTCGCTGTAAATGCATTTTTGAGGGCGATACCAGCCGCTGCCCGGACTGGTCCTTGTGCCTCTTCATTTGCAAGCTCTCGCACGAGAGTTATTACATATTCAGACTATTATATACTTTTGATCAGCAATTTGTTCAAAACGTCGAGAGAATGAGGTGATAAAAAGCCTACAAAGTTTGAGTCTGCAGCGTTTGTGAGCTGTTGTTCTGCGGCTCCTCTAGTTGAGGCGTCTAACAAGAGTTAGCTGTATAAGAGCATCATAATTGCGAACGAACCCGCTGAAAAAGTGTTCAGAAGAACTTGGTTAACATCCATTACAACGGAGCGCTGCAAGTGTGCTGCGTGAAGAATTCTTTGATGAGAATAAGGAAGAACTAGAGTAGGACGTTGTTTCTTACGTCGCACTACCTCAATCTGAGATATGGGTGGAGAGGGGGTGGGGGGTATTGCGAAATTGTTTTGTTGAAGTCTTGTATGATGATAAGACAGGCGAATTTCCTCTTTAGATCGACTTGCCTTCTAGAATCGGAAGGCTAATTGAGACGTTAAAGAAGAAATAGACGCTAGTTCTTCGCACACCTAGTTAAAATCTTAAGTCAATCTTGGGTCCCAATCGACAAATTGGATTCTAAATTAGATCAGGATAAACCCTCAAAAAGGGGTGAGGGGAGACTTGTGAGTGAGAAGTGTGGGTATTGATCACGTGATCTAATTGCAACACGATGATCAGTTTTCCTTTGTTGTAACGACTGAGATATATTTATATCCGAATTAAGTGGGATTTTAATTTTAATCTATCTCTTGAGACGGAATTGATTTTCACTCGAACGAAAAATTAATCTGACTAGCATCTATAAATGACGCAGTCGCCCTTCTGCCTCTTGCCCCTTCCCCATAGGTTTATCACGTTGAGATTGACTAGAGTTGATGCCTGTGGCCCTGAAGCCTAACGGCAGTCTGTTAAGGCTGTTTAACATAGGCCTCTAATCTGCATAAAAGCTAATGGCTAGTTCCCATGATCCCGAAACTTCTAATGACTACGTAAACCTCAAGCTGTACTAGTTTCTTCGAACATATCTCCCGGCATGCTTCTAAATCTACTGCTCTCATCGGTTTGATGGTCATGATGGTTACCAAGGTGAAGCGACATGCTCGGTCGACTGGCGAGGAACTTTCTAACGTCAGTGATACGATGAATCTAAACACAGGGGTAGTTTTTTTTCAAGTACATTGTTGGTGGCACTCAGGAGTGCAGTGAGCGAACTTTGCACTACGTCTTCATGGACACCGACGCCCCAAACTTTCTTGTCAAAGCCTGTGGCAGTGCATTCAATGTAACTCGCCGCCTTTCCATCCCGACCACTGCCTATAGCGTGTTCCTTGTAGTCAGCTACGTCGAGGTCAATACCAATGGTTGAAAGTGCATTTGCGAGACTAGAGATAGGGCCATTTCCAGTGCCATTGAGCCTCACTTCCTGACCATCCACTGATAGTACTCCTTCAAACATTCTTCTCATATTTGTAGTATCTTGAGCTTTACCTACTGCTGGTGGCATAGGTGAAACGGATCTTTCGGTAGTGATCGTGTAGTCGATCAATCTCAGTCTTGAACTTTCGCAAGATAGATATGTATTTTCAAATAACTGTTGGATTTCAGTGCCAAGTAGCTCTCGCCCAACTGTATCAGCCTTTTCTTGAACAACCTTGCTAAATTCTATTTGAAGACCACGAGGGAGGTCGAGCTCTAGGTTTCGAAGAATTATCCAGGCTGCACCGCTCTTACCACTCTGTGAATTGACTCGAATGATAGCTTCATAGTTTCGACCGATATCTTGCGGGTCAAGAGGTAGATACGGCATACGCCAGGTATTTTCGTCAGGATTAAGAGCTTTTTTGACCATACCCTTTTTAATAGCATCCTGATGTGAGCCACTAAAAGCGCAGACAACCAATGAGCCACCGTAAGGGGCCCGGGGATGCACAGGGATTTTACAGCTGTCTTCGACGATTTGGATCACTCGATTAAGATCTGAGAAATCGACGTTTGGGTGGATTCCCTGTGTGTAAAGGTTCAGGGCTAGAGTAACGAGATCCACGTTCCCCGTTCTCTCACCGTTTCCAAAAAGGCAGCCTTCTACACGGTCAGCGCCAGCCATCTGAGCTAGCTCTGCTGCCGCAATAGCACAACCACGATCATTGTGCGGATGTAAACTTACGCAAACCTTTTCTCGCTCACTTATGTGAGTGCAAAAGTATTCTATCTGATCTGCGTAGATATTTGGAGTTGACATCTCGACTGTGGCTGGCAGGTTAAAGATGATAGGGTTCGAGGTCGAAGGACCCCACGCTAACTTGACAGCCTCACAAACACGTATAATGAACTCAGGTCGTGTATCTGAAAAGCATTCAGGACTAAACTCGAAAGCCCATTCTGTACCTGACTGGCTTGGATCATCCTTGGTGATACTACGCGCATAGCGCGTACACTTGGTAGCGAGTTCCAAGGTTTCATCTTCCGTCATACCAAACACAATTTGTCGAAAACACTCACTAGTAGCCAAGTAGATATGAAGGATAGCTTTTTGGGCACCTCTCAAGGAGGCTACTGTTCGTTCTATGAGTTCTTCTCGACAGGGTGAAAGAACTTGCAGCCAAACATCATTAGGAACGGCACCTGGAGTCTCAACAAGACGCCGTGTAAAGTCGTAATCAGTCTGCGAGGCGGAGGGAAATGAAACCTCTATTTCTTTATATCCAATGCTAACAAGCAGTTGGAAATACTCCCATTTTTGCTCACTATCCTAATAATAATAGCAGGGTTACAGTCAGTCCCTGAAACAAGATTTTTGAGTGAGTTCTGTAAGCTGCCAAGCATACCATAGGGTCGACCAAGCTCTGGTTGCCGTCGCGTAAATCCGTGGAAAGCCATCGAGGCGGTTTTTCGATAGTCTTGTTAGGCCACGTCCGTTCAGTTAGGTTTAGTGGTGCGAACTTCTTGTATTTTTGCGAGGGGTCTTTGAGCCTTCAGGTGCTAGAATCAGTATTGCTAATAATGAAACAGTCTGAGGACATCGCCTACATCGGCATAGCTAACGGCGTTCTTGGGCTTCGAATTCGACTCCAAATGATGGAAATTGGAGTTGCGGGAAAATACGGAAAATTATTTTCCAAAGAAAATGATTTCGTAATTGTGGCTGATCGTCCGCGGATCATCCGGCACGACAAACCTGCATACGATCCTTCTGTTTAATTTTCTGAAATCATGCCGCTCTGGTTATTTCATGAATTTATACTAAAAGAAACAAATATCAATTAACTGGTATCTACAGTATCCCAATACTTTCGAGTATTTCATGACAATAGTCCACCAGCGCTGAATCGACTTCGTTGTCCCTCACTGACCCATGTCAACTCCAACATTCCTCCTCGGCTAGGTTTATGAAATTTTGCAAGGTCACACGGCTAATGCTCGGTAGGTCAAGCATTAGAATAATAGTTTGGTCAGAAAAAGTGTGTGCATGATGGCGAAAAAGTTATTCCCAAAGTATCACATATCAAACAACATGGATTTCCTACCCGCTAATCCAACGCCGCCCATATTTCATCTACTATTTACAGATCATGAGGACAATACAATGCATATTTTGCCCGAGTCCACTCTCAAGATATTTGCAGAAAACCTAATCCTGATCCATCTATTTCGTCCATCATTTGCTTGATCTTTGGAGAAGGCTTATTAAGTCCACGTAGCTCTTAATTGTTCACCATGTAAAACTTTCCTCAATAAAATCCACTACGCCGTCTTCCTGCACGTCACGCACAGCCTCCCTTACATTGTCTGCGAGTCCTCCCGGTCCACACACAGTTACACACATGGCACCGACTTGCTCCCTTACTTCGTTCTGGAGAAGCAGTCTTACATTAGGACGACCTGGAAACATTTGTACAGTGTTGCTAGGCGATCGTATCTCTCCTGGATTTTTGGGCCGTGTTACGAAAAGTTTAATGATTAAACACTCACGCCGTCCAGGCATTCTTAAGATGACGTCCATCCAAGGTCGCAACCATTCTAAGTGCTCTGCATCTCGTATAATCCAGATGAGGGTAATTTTTCGAGTGGCGACCGATCTTTCGGTAGATGCTAAAATAAGATGTCTTACAAATGAGATTTGATGGGTTATACCACTAGATCCAGCGAAAAGAACGGCGTGTCCGTAAGAGTCCAAAGAGTGGTGTCCGCCATATGGGCCCTCAAGAGCAGCCCTGAGATTGAGGGCATTGGGAGCACATTTCTTAGCTCTATCGTAAAGTTTTCGAGTCATACCTGTTTGGGCGTGAATGATGAATGATACATCGGTGACGGTTTCGGAATCTCTCAGCCTGCCATCATTTCCCTTTTCAGACGTCGGTAGTTCTCCTTGTGATGGTATATGGTCAACCCAAGCAATAGAAAAAGGGTGAGATTCCCATGGGTTAATAGAGCCAAACCGTAGGTAGGCATGGCTTCCCGCGCTAATGTTGATCTTTCTCGGGCAATGTAATGTGACTCTACAAGCATCGCCGGAGACAGCTTGAATTGTTGCATTAGTCCAGCCGGATCTTGAGTAATTATACCATATGATTCTGAAGATCCTTCCGACTCGATCAGCAGCCCAGAGTAGAATAATAACCTTTACGTAAGTTAATTGTGGTAATTTTCCCGCATCGCAGTGGATATAGATGCCCACAAGAGCTACAGCCGCTAGGATGATGTGAACATCTAGGAATGTCTCATAGAACGCGTGCCGTACTGGTGAGAAAGAGACAATTAATATCAAAAACATAGCAGCAGTTCCAACCATTCCCCACCCAGAAAATTTATCACTCTGAAGCTGAGACCATAACCCACCCCATCCCGTGGCAGCGTATTTTACGTAGGCCCAGCATCCCGTATGAAGGACTGATTCCAAAATTACTATTCTCCCGGTCCAACGGTGCATGAGGTTGAATGTATCGAAGCTTACTTGGAGTATACCGATTAGAGGGTTATTCCGGCCCGCAAACATAATTAATGGAATCATGTTGATGACAGCTAAAACCCCGGTTCTACCTCGCATTTCGGCGGCAACGGCGTAATGGTTCATCTGTCTCCAGTCGACAGCCAGGGTGTAAGCTATGTTGCTAAAGAAAAACAAGAATAGGAGCGTTGCCTGTGATCTTGAAGGGATGGTACCCATGTTAAGAGCAGCAGAGAGTCTTATTTCTCGATTATGTCGTTTACTTTTTAGAGGTGCGTAGGTGAATTGTTTTTTAATCTTCCAGACCCATGAAGTTTGGTTTCGTGAGAAGTAAACTTGTTGGTTTCCAGAGAGACTCATAGCTATTAAGTGCCTCAGATGTGCTCGCCATCGCTGGTAGATCCTTAGGACAAGAATAAGTATGGCCAGCACACCTAAACTCCACCAGAGCATTAACTTGAATAGATGATCTTTCGTGCCATTTACTCCATTGAGTGCTGTTGCGAAATCTGCAGTCACAAGAACAGGCTCAATTGAATCATTCTTAGTGGATGTTCGAGATAGGATTGATGTAGCTGTTGCCCACAGCATTGAAGGCTCGCTGGCCTCGAAAGAGCCTTCAACAGTCATTCGGAACTGGGTCCAAAATGTACTTGCTGAGAGATGGTCTGAAGGTGAGACTATTTAGTGTAGGAGTGGTACTGAAGTCTATGTGACAAAGTGCTATCGTGGATGAGCGGAAGGTGGAGGTCGAATTCTATTACTTTTAGAGATGCGAAGCGTGGCTAGAAAGAAGATATACTTAAGCGATAGTCTTATGATAATTTAAGAGGAGGCTACAATGAGAGCCATGTTGTGAACGGACTAAGAAGGGATTATGATGACAGGTGGATGGGGCAGAAATCTGAAGACCTGATGAGCGAGACTCTTAGCAAACACGGAGAGAAAGGCAAAGTCAGGAGAAGTGAGAATCAGTGGCAATGTGACCTATGCCTACAGTTTCTTCCGTAACTAAGTGGCCGAATAAAAGAGGCAGTTAATAGGAAAGCTAAGCTCACTGTTTGCGTAGTGAATCGTTGAGCACTATCAAAAGAAAGAGTGTAAGGCGGCGGCGATGAAAATTCAGGGCGACTCCCAGGAAGATGATTTATGTGGTGAGGCAGTATCGGTGACTGAGCTGAAGGCAAATCTTCTTAAGCTGATAAAGTTGTGAATGAAATGCCAGTCAGGCCAATGACGAATAAATGATTCAAACGAGTGAAAGGGCGGGGGCGGAATGGTGATGCAATATGGGGTTTGCGGACAGATCAAAGAGAATGTAATGTGGAGGCGTAAGGGTAACATCTGGAACGGAGCCCCCCTGAGCACACCATAGCAAAAATCGTGGTCATCCCGGGTCCGTGTGGGATCTACTCAATCTGGTGGAGGCGCGGGTGCCTGAAACGATAAACGCCAAGTAGGGGGCCATAGGGTGGATAATGCGCAAGCCCCTGCTCTAACAGGAGCCAATCAAGTCAGTGTATTTAGATTTTCACGGCCGTCTGCATCCTGAGGCATGAGAACTAGCTCGTTCTTACGGCAGCCAATGATATCAGCCCTTGGCTCCTTAAGGAATATCATCTCGCCGTGTCACAATTTCCAACGTCAGCGATCAACTCAGCGAGTATTGGCTGAACCGAACACATCTCAATTCTATCGCATCATGGGAGCCAATCCGTCCAAAACACTTGATCCACCGCAGACACTGGTATGGAAAAGGTTCTCGAATCTGATCAATCTTACTCTTGCCGACACTAACAATAATGCGACAGCGACACGCCCGTTCAATTCTCGCAAACACTCCTGAATTCTCTTCAAGCCAGTCCAGAGGTAGAAGACTCCCACCACCTTTTTGCCTTTGGCGGCAAAGTATTAGTAACCAAATTAATCATAACAGTCTGACTCCACTCGTGCGAAGGCACTTGAACTTCAAATCCAATCGCGTGTCAATGCTGAACTACAACGACTACAGTCTGATGCCTCCAAAGAATACACCGATCTACAGGCCAGGATCTCAGCTATTGAACCAAATAGTAGTGATAACACGTCAGCCGGCGATAAATTGCGGGAGATGGGGCGCGAGGCAGTGCAAAGTGATATTCGAGAACTTCAGCACAAGCTACAACAAAGGAAGCGAGTGCGGGAGATAGATGAGGGCGTGGCGGTTGCCAAGGAAGCACTGGTTACTTGCTTGACGGAGAATGATCGGAGGCCGTTGGACTGCTGGGCCAAAGTGCAAAAGTTCAAGGAAGAAGTGGCTAGACTGGAGAATGAATGGGTAGAAAAGGTTGTGCGGTGAGAATATCAGCGCGCATGTATCATCACTAAAACTCATGTCATTGCGAAAAATGACATTTGAATAATTGTAAGTTGTAACTTTGGCGCCGGGCACGGTCTACCTCGCCATACTCAGCTGAGCGGTTAGGGCTGTAGGAATTGTGCTCAATTACCCGAGGCGGGGTTTCCGAGATACTCTGTGTTCCGGACATGTGGTGATTCGGATTTTGTGGCCAGCGCCCGCGCCCGCGCCATGCCCTCTTCACGCTTCCGTGCCCTTCTTTCCTCTGAATCCTCCCATCCCACACGGGCTAGCTTGATATTACCACCGTTCACGAACTTTGCCAGCAGAGTATGGAATCTAGTCACCCTCTGTAAGTTTTCCGCAAATCTTTGGTTAGCTTTGACTATCAGTCCTTTCATGTGCCATTCCGGAATGATGCATACAGCCTGGCTATCTAATTCCAAACCTAGTACTGAATCTAAAGCTAATCCCGTTGAGCGAATCCCCACCATAGGCGTAACGGGATTGCCTTTGTCGTTCGCCAAGTTCAGCGCACCGCTTTCACGAAAGCCGGCTTGGAGTGCGGCTGAGAGGATCGTGTTAGCATGACATAACGACGCCGTGAGGACGTGGAGAATCTGGAGCACAAGACAATGAGCCGAGAACGCGCAGGCAGCAGAGGGGTATCACCATCGGTTCAAATTTGAAATGAATCAATCGCAGCGAGCGCGCTTCTGCCGTGCTAAAAGCTTCCATGACCTGCGTAGATTGGTGCTCGAGACGCTGCATGCCCATGATTTCGGCCAACGGTTTTTCTCCTTCCCCGCCGTCGAGGCCTACTGGGCGATGCGAGACAAACAGCCAATGTCCGCCCCCCCCCTTCCCACCTATGCTTGCCTGTTCCTCATGCCGACGACCACCGTCGATATCTGAGTCTGGGCTTGGTTGTGTCTCATCTTCCTTACGGCCCTCCATATAAACGCTAATACGTCCGGCACAGCTGCTAGTCGTTACACAGCCGTCAATGTTATTAATTTGATTGATCAGATCACGAATGTCCTCGTCGATTGTGCCTTTGGGCGAGAGGTCTCCGTATAGCTCTTCTGGCACCGCGAGCGATGCGAGGATGCGCGCCTTCTTGCTGCTGAAGCTTGCGGGCAAGGCGAGCGGCATAGCGAGCGGCATAGCGAGAATTCTATTCTCGTGGTAGACGATGGTCTGTGCAGACAGGTGTTGAATGTTTGCTGCACGACCAGCGTATCGTCCACCTTTCCTCTATCCTTCTTCGGCAAATGCTTTATCCTAGGTCACCCTTTTACTATATTCTTTCTGCCCTAGGTATCTCGCTTCCCTCAAACTCGGCATCTGTGCACTTGTCGTCAAGGCTCTCGTGCAGGCATCCGCGCACTAGGCCAATACAAAGGCATGGATTACTGCTCGCAGGAAGTACATCTCTAGTAACATTGGCCCCCCCCCCCCGAGCCAAGAAGAATGAATCTTTGCATATAACCATCAACACATCTGCATTGTCATTCAAAATGCAATGTTTGCCAAAGCTACTGTGAATTACATGATAACAAAGATCGCCAATTTCTAGTCACTAGGACGCATTGAATCATCTACCCCCACCAAAAGAAACCAACTTGATCATGTTAAAACAAAAGCGCCTCGTCTGTAGCTTGCTCACAAGTCTATTAAAACTAGGAAACGCAGTACTTGCGAGAAGCAACAAAGATTATCGCTGTGTTTGTTACCTAGATTTTATACGAGATAAAGGGGGTCGAAGATTCCCCGCAGGATCTTCTCCATCCCGGCCCACTCAGCCTCAGCAACTTGAGCGAGTGTACATTTTTTAAACTCAGAATGATTTCCATAATCTATATGCTTGTGCAACAGACCAAATAGTTCAAGCTCGATATTATCACCTTGAGTAGCTTTCTCGGCCAAGGACAATTGTTTCTTATCGACGGTAAACTCGCGGATCCGAGCGATATACCACTGAAAATATTTAGTCCCTGCAGGATGCAGGCGATAGACACTAACTTACCATAATCAAATCACAGGGTGCGCTAGGGTGGGCCCCGATAGTCCAGAGATGCTTCCAGAAAGCTGCGAATGGAGGTAAACCAAACTCCTGGGCCTTCTCCCAAGGCAAGCCAACCAGCAAAACAATATCATCTTTCTGGCTGGGTGAGAAGCCACGGCATCTGAGAGCTGCACGCCAGACGCGCTTGTACAGCATTGGCGTGAGATACATATTACTGTGATCAGATATTACTCTTTCTCTAAGAAACCTCAACATTTGCATGGTAGTCCTGTGCAGAAAGTCTCTGTCCTCAATTGTGATGTGGTTAACCATAAACCAAGGAAACTTGAAAATTAGTAAGAGTCTGAATTTTCAAGAGAGAAAATTAACCTTATACAATGTACTTATTAGACACTCAAATGGTCGTTGTGGACATTCCTTTGAAAATGGCGACTGAATACATGGATCAGTTAGTAATCAAGGCTATTAAGTATGATAATCTTACCCGCAGAGGGACTTCAACATGCTTAATCAACATGATCAATTCTTCTTTGCTGATAAATCCCTGAAACCCTGAGTTGAAGTTGTCATTGGTATCCCTAGGCTGTATTGTGGGAATTGATCCGCTCCATTTTACATTTTTGGCTTTAGGAAAGAGGTCTGCCATCAGGCTTTCCTGTGAAGAAAGTTCTACTTCGACTCTTCTTTGACCGATCTTACAGCTACGACCACAAACCCTACTTTGATCGAAACGATGTACAGCATTTAGAGCTTCTTCAAAATTAATAAATTCGACATAGCAGTCCAGGGTTTTACTAGTCACACGCTCCATAACAATATGGACAGGCTCATTATCACTTTCTGCAATAAGACGAGCATTTCGGCCTAGAAAAGCAAGAACTTCAGACCGGCTGATGGAATACGGAATCTATTGATCTGTAAGGAGGCTTTCTCGTAATTTTCAGCGGGAAACATTACATTCTTAATCTTAATAACGCCAAAGTTGTTCTCCTGCACTACCCGACAATATTCAACAAATGGTAGAGACGAGAAAATTTCATCCACACTAGGCTTACGATTACCCATGTCTACTAGGGCACGAAGAGCAGGACTTTGGCAGGTTTGGACAACAGTACCTGGACCACAACAGGGCTGTACAAATCTTTTTCCACGATGATAATAATCAAATTGTGCAATAGACATTTGATGTACATCTTGCTCAGCAGAGCTATTATTATCATCCAGTAAAGTTTGTAACTCATTTTGCTCAGTTTCTCGTGCCTTTTGAATTAACGCTGTCTTTTGTAGAGTTTCCCGGTTCTCATTAACATCCATGACCTTAAGGCGGATACTAGGTTTTCTTGTACGGCCATCGCAAGAGGCTTCGATTGGAGCTGGTGACTTTTTCCGAGAAAATAATCTTGTGGGTGCAAAATTGCATTCTATACCAAAGATTTTACCTCTCGATTGGATTTGTTTCTTGATAAGCTTATTTTCTGGTTCTTTAAATACTGGTTCCTTCTCCGCATGCACATGATTTTTGCTTGATGATTGAGAAGATGCTTTGTTTGAGTTCTCGAGTTGTGACTTCTTGTCGAACTGTAGCACAGAAGTTTTACACGGTATAACCCGATCTTGGCACGTAACATATCTCTCCTTGTAGTTGAGGGAGCTTTCGCTAAGATTTTGTCTCTGATAATTTTTATTCTCCTCGCCGCCAAAATTTGAAGATTTAAATCCCCCTCTATTATTTAGCGGATCATGCTTGCCTGTGCCACCTTGATGAGGATGGGAGAGTAACTTCTCACGCGTTGGAATCAAAGATATTTGCGAAGTCTGGGTCGAGTGGTTTGGTCGATGAATTAAGAACGGATTGTAGACACATTTCGGACTTTCTACTCCTAGGTGTTCTTCTGGTGAGTTAGCTACACAGATACAAGTTTGGTTTACGAGAGCATAATATTTATACTCTCACTCCAATGACCTCCAGCAACAGATGTATATACATACTGAGACACATGGTACTATTCTGCCGTGTGGAGCAGTCAACAATATCGAGAGCGGAAATTCGATTAGCGAGGCTTTGTCCAGCATGGACCAACTTCAATTCATCACCCTCAACATGCGATGGTTGGTTAGAGGATTGGACTTCCTGATGTGATACCACTGTGGAATGTGGCTGGGAGTGTGATTTAACCGAAACGTCGACGGCCATTACCGACTCCTGGATATCTCTACATGTTGTCTTGGGCTGGATCTGCCTGGAAACTGGCGTCTCCAAGCTTGGTGTGGTACCACCTGCACTCGAATTTTCAAATGTACTCGGAACCTGAGGGTCTTTTTGAGTTTGAGGCTCCAATTTGAGTAGGACTAGAGAGGTGACACTATTGGCGTTCTGCCGCGACTCGGGAAATTGAGATTGAGAGATTTGATTTTTATTATTATCTGCTTGTACTGCACGAGCATTCGACATGATTATCAAGTGCCGAAGTGTATATTGATAATTTGATTTACTTGAATAATTGGTGAAGTGGGAATTGAGGCTATCTCGCTGACATGAGTGTTTACAACTGAGGGGAAACTGGCTATTTCGAGATGGGAGGTCTACTCCCGACTAGCTGAGCTCGGAAGACCTTGAGGATTCACTAATACTGTCACTATTTCTGCAATGGAAAGAAGTTCTGCTTTCCCCAAAGTTCTTGTGAGATATGATTTATGGATTTGTTTCTTGCAATTTGTGAATATTTTGAGACGCAAGGGCCGAGAGTTACGAAGTTTATGATTACACTATGATAGAAAAGCGACCATAGTCGACGGCATCACACTATGGTAGTCTACACGTCTCTCTAGAGCGGTCTGGACGGTAGTCATTGATGAATGTGCTCAGAAATAGCCAGTACAAGTTGCCTAGCACGGTCTTAAACTAGCGATTTCATAGATGGATGATTGCAGGATGATATTTAAAGATCATTCGGCTTGGATGCGCACTTCAAGTCTAACGCTCAAATGCGTCGTACTGGGTGGTTTGAGGTGGTTTTAGCAACTAACAGCGTCGATATTTCACTCTCCCTTTACTGTGGATGCGTAGAAGCAATGAGATCGATGTTTGAACGTATGTTTAGCAAGTTTAAAACATACAACGACCGAAGACACTCTGCGAGTCACTGGCAATTGGACCTGATATTTTATAACCAGCGTCTTCATGTTAGTCTCTAATTCTTCCAGCGACGGATTCTTCGATCAAAGAGCTAGTCTGTAACCGTTCTCAATGAATGGTTATCAGAGCTTGTCGTTCAGAGTGGGTGGAGTTAAGGACTGTACTGTGATGGAATTTTACGTCAATTACTTCAGTAGACTCTGATGTCCTAAAGCCACAAAAACCCACTGAATAAATCAGCAACTAATAGTAAGTGGTAGCTAGTCCAATCGAGCCAGTATCAAGTGAGCTATGGATTGTGCATTGAAGTTCACCCTGAGGCACTCAAGTGATAAAGCAGGCCGTGGTAACAAATTGTGAGTTCCTCAATTACAATGATAAAGAGCGCGTTTCGCTGATAAGGTGGGTGAGGGGAACATGCTACTATTGTCCATTGGATCGCGTGTGACCTCAGATTCTGACCTTTCTCCTCTGGGACGGGGAGACCCGGGGAGAAGTTTTCTTTCAATGGCTAAGGCAGCAATACACTTACAAGAATAAAGCGAATGGTAATGCTGTCTCCAAATCAAGGCGCGAGATGAGGCAGCGCTAAGTGATGGGACACGGGTTGGGTGAAGGGGAGCGTTCTAAGCAAATATGTATATCCACAAACGATGGATATGCTATCACCCTCTCTTTGACTATGCACGCAGCATAGCCGTAGATGGAAAGTGCTAGAAGTTTAGGTACAATGTTCTGGACTTACAGACCCTCCATATCATCTACGTTCCCGAAACGATCTTTTGTGCAGTGCAGGGGTTGAAATGTGTGATAGGGTAGCATTTCATGCTGTTAAGCGATACATGAGCAGCTGTGTAGCGTGACCACAAGACTCTGATTGGGTAGTTACCACACCAGGATGAAGCCACAATTGGAGATATTGTGGCTTGGGTTCCAAGTCTTTTATTTCATCCTTCCACATGTATTTCAATATGTAGCTATGAAACATTATCAGGACTATGCATGCGTGTAAGGCGACTTTTATGACTTTTAAGGTACTCGTACTCCGAATTTCATTTGCAAACACTAACATATTGTATGTTTGCCTATACAAACAGCCGACCCTGCTGCGTGAATACCCACCAAAAGAGAGTTTCAGAGTGTTAGTTTCGAGAAGGCCTTTGCCACCCATGTGGTTGGTTGTTAATTAACGTGCTAGGTAAAGTGATTCCCGTTGGACTCCTACTGGAGCTTAAGCACGGGTGGGGCCGGGCTAGATGTAAAAGGACTGGTCACGCTAGCTGTTCGCGCAAGTGAATCCAAAATGGAGTTTATATTCTGTACAACGAAAGGAGTGTATGAACTACGCAATTAAAGGTATGCTGAGCCTTACGTAACCCACCCGAACTTGGCTATCAAATAATGTCACGTGAACAATCATTACAGATGGAATCGGACAACTCCGATTCTAACCATACAAGGCGGTAAGCCTGTAACACTGGATTAAGTTAACTACCATTAAGTACATCTGCCTCATCCCACCTGAATGATCGGATCACCGCAGACTCTACTCATGTGTTGAATCGTGTCAAGCCCAATCGTCCAGAGAAGCCTCTTTTGACAAGCCGAAGCGCAAATTCCTCCTCAGCCTCGGCCACCACGCGCCCGAGCCCTAGAGACCTTCGCGATCTGTGACATTTTCCTTCGATTCAGTCCCAGCTTTGGCCCATCTCATCCAGGGGTCGTATTCTTCATTGGAGGCCTCATCCAGTCGCCCACCATGGCCTCCTCAGTTTGTATTCCCTTTTGGTTCCTTCATGTATCATACCTTTGTCGTTTAGCCAGCCTCGTCATCCTAGAAACTTTATAGAATGTCCACCCCTCCGGCCTTGCCCCGTCGCTGCCATACCCCTAACCGTGGAGGTCGAAAACGCGACTGAGAGCTCAAGACCGAGACACCGATGCCCCAGCGTTTGTCGAACGCTCTAGTTGGAGTGCCGGCGAAATGTCGTACGTTTTTCGTCGGTGGCGATTCGTCGCAGGTCGAGTTGTTGGTGCCCTTGGCCGAGGTGAGGACGCATTTAAGGCCGGTATTTCGATCGTATCTTCACAGCGACTGGCAGTTGCGGAGGGTCTAACATCTTCTTGCTTCTTTGTCGGCAATTTGACTCTTGTAGGTATGTGCCACCCATATGCACCGGCACTGGGAGAAATATGGCTTGGTGTTGCATGCTTTCGAACCTGCAATTTTCTGTCTAGGGTAGGCTAGATGTCTGAGCTATCTAGAGTCTACTTGGGAGACCAGCCCAGATAACATACCACTGCACCATCCAATTGTGGCAGTGTTTAAAGCGTCGCCTGTTCTCACGCTATCCAAGGCCCGGTGCACACGATGCTCAATCTGAAGACTCTTTAAATAAGAGTTTTCACCTTTTAAAGATAATTTACGATAGCAAAGATGAATTCTTCATCTTACAATGGTGAAGCTGTAATAGCTCAGCACGCTCTGCATGTTTGGGATAGCCAAGAAGAATGGCATCTGAACCGAAGTCGAAATCCAACTCAAGCATATCTAAAATTGTCAATGTCGGGCCTATCTATCTCACGCGAGTCCTCAACATCAATCATACTGCAATACCCCGCCTAAACTACCAATAATGGTGCTACTCCAATTGCCATCGGGAATTTGCCCCATCGAAAATCGGCCATCTCCAACTATAAAGTTACGATGCTATGTATACCTGCGAGTAGGAAACTAAGTCATGATCAACAAAGCTCAGGTCTTGGTCTATGGGGGACCGTTGTTCTGATGGAGCTTCATATCTTGAGGGAGGACAGGCAGCTGGGAGGGGGCTATTCTCAACACCTGTCAGTGGTGCCCCCTACGAACCTCCAGCTCTCACTGTAGAGTCTGCATGGCCGAGATTGAGTAACAGAAACCTCACTTCGACGAGGATCCCTAACCGCTGTCGCGGTCTGTATCGTCTTCGTCTCTCAACACATCCTCCTATCACCATTATCATGAAGCTAACCACGATCAGATCAGATGGTAGGGTCGGAGCCCTTCTCATCAACAACCCTTGATCATGGATGAATAGTCATCCGACGAGCTTCCGGAGCGTATCAAGTACCCGATACGGAAATGGTGGACTAGATCAAGCTGGCCTCAGTTGTTACAGAGAAGGGAGATAAAGATGAATATTCACACCTCATGTAGTCCCGGTGTCTAGGCCTCGCCTGGCTGGGGCTGTAGGTTTTCTGAGACTTTTTCCCGCGCACGTAGTTTCCATTGCTACCATTTTTATTATTTTTGGATAGAAGGTTCCGTGGAAAAAGTGGCGGAATTCCACGGGTAAACACTGAGCTGAATGGCTATTCATCAAGGGGAATATATCAATGATCTTTCAAATAACAAAAGAGGATAAGAGCACTGTACAAGGTGTGATCTGGGTCAGAGAGGAGCCCAATATGCGAAATAGTCATAAACTGCAATAATCAATACCAAGATTGCCCCTACTGCTCTTGTCAAATAGTACCATCCAATTGAATTCCTTATTAAATCATACACTTCATGAACCCCTTGGATCTTTCTTCTCTCCCTTTCAATCCAGCACAATGATGGCCATTAATGTGTTAATGCCAGCCAGGGAAAATTGAAAAATCACAAAGTGGGGGCTCTCCTTATATCGATATCAGGACCTAATACACAGACACAGCTATCCTTCTGAGACTTTTAAAGAGAACGACCAGCTAATCATTGCATATTGAAATTGGTCGTGTAATTGTCGAGGCATACATGAAACGTCGATCATAGTACGGGACCGAGCTAAATTAGCATTCCTTTAGACCCTACATTATGTGCCTGAGGTATACCATGTGGGGTGTGGACACCTTACCCTGATATTGATATACGTGTCAAGAAATTTTGTAAATTTATTGTTGACTATGTGTCTCTTTATTATGGTTGTACGGTATGGTAGATGCTAATACGAGAGCCTATTAAATACCTTATCATTAAGACATCACCTTACTCTTTATTGATTAAAACTAAAGCTCCAGTATATTGAGTTCATATATATTTCAATTCTGCAGACATATGTGATCTTAGGGAAGGCCACTATTTGCCTTTACAGTCTTTCTCAACCCTTTCCCATAGGTCGTCCTGATATGTGAAAAAAGTCTTTGCGTCGGATTATAATTGCATTTGCAGCTGTCTAGCCATGACACAGTTTTAGAGAAAAGATAAAAAACATGCCTCAATTTAAAAGTAGAGCATTCATATCTCGGATTTTATTTGTAAGTACTACTGCGAAGTTATGACGGCTTTTTCTCCACCAAAAGTCAGCCTTCATCGGTGAATCCCTGCTCTAGGGAAATTCTCAAGAACCCTGGTTTTTATGGATATACCTCCATCATCCACGCACTGATCTCCGTAGGAAATTTAGACTGAGGTGTTACGGGAATACTCCCTTGTGTGTGTACTGTCTGCGCCAATACGGTAGAGATGGAATCTAGGGTCTAGTTAGCTGTAGAGACTACCAAGGGTGGAGATTGGAAACGGATTCTAAGCAACGGAGGTTGTTATGATCAGCGTCGTTAATTAAAATTCCTTATGTAAATAGCAAGATATGGATACCTGCCGTCTCTAGATTTCGTTAATTAGCTGATTTTATTCTGGACTTGATCTGCTGTGTACCAACACCAATTGATCCGGCGACATGAGGCACCTCCTTCCCAAGTGTAGTAGGTACCCAGGTAACTCAAACTGTACTGGAGATCACCACTAGAAGGCGAAAAACGACAACTTCCATCATTAGCTAGTGTTTATAGTGTCAGTCACACTTTCGCAATCGAAAGCTTGGAATGCTCAATGCTTTTGGACTTAAAAAGCTCTTTGCCAAAAAACAAGATCTCACACCCGTCGAAATTAAAATCAATGTTTGTAACGTCTTATCCACTTGTCCTGATTTCTTCCACGTGCATCCCAAGGAGCTGCCTCCAATAGTTGTGCGCCATCATTTATTTTCTCCGGCGTAGCCGCGTATTTGATGGCTAGATAAATTCAGAGAAAGTCGACGAGAGGTATCGTCATTGAATTGAGTGTGTACGTAGTCGCACTTTTAAACTTGATGGGATTTGGTGGGGATCGATCAAGTTGAGAGAGGGAAATTGATTAGGTGGAGAGTCTTGATAGAGTCCATATGTTGTATAGTAGCTTGGCACAATTTCCTTGTGGCGAGTAGGTAGTTGGAGAGCGCCGTAGACTTATCGACCGTAGGAGTCATCCTTACAAACTTTCTGAAACCGTTGCCTTAGCTCCCACAAATACTCAATGGTCGGAAACCCCTCGAAACCCCAAGTCCCAACATGCCAATGGATATATTCTTCAATTTCTCATTCCAGATCCAAGCTGCCCGTCCAGCCTTAAGTTGAATGGCTCCATTAAAGCAAGAGTTCCTCACAAGCCAAAACCCGAGTTTTGGCCATTATGATTTAATACCTCTCATATTTTTAATTCATATTGTATTTGGTCATCTAGATAGGCTAACCGTTGATTACTTCATGCAGGTATACGTAGTGTCTTAATCATGTAGTGAGAGATGGCCTGTGATCGATGAGTCAAGATCCACTTTGCAATTGAAATAACTCCTTTATCGGTCTTTGGGGCGGGGTACTTTGGACAAACCGAGCCAGAGGACTTGCATGAGAATGGTTGGACCGACGTGGATCAGAAGTCGATTTTAGTTCTGCTTTTATTCGCGCCTTATTTCCATTCAGATGCAATTCTTCTAAGCTACTCTAGACATGCAGGAAATACTAAGCGATTAGTCTGGCACCACCGGAAGTTGGAGAATTCCTCTTTGCCGGATCGTCTTGGAACGAATGCCCGAGGCTATGCTTGAGGTAGACGCCAGCATCATGACTCGGTCATCCCATGTTTTCGTCCATAGCGACAAATCTTGCTTGGATGATGCTGAGCAATAATTTCCACGATTCAGATAGGAAGCACATAATCAACCGGAGAAAACACACTAGAACTAACTCGTCGATTCGATCGCCCACAAGAATTGAAGCCAACTCGCAACAATGGCGGCCAAAAACGCCGGTCAAAATGTTTTTTTATCATGCCACCGAAACAAATTCTTTCCGGACCAGGTGAAATCTAATCATGAACAAAAAAGTAGATTTCACGAAGCGTAATTTTTGATATCAAAGCTGTACCACATTTCATGACCATGATCGCAACGCGAAATTTTTCTGTCTATCAAAGTCCAACGTTTTGCATGACAGGCTAATTTAGAACTTAAGCTATGGATTACGTAGAGAAAATAACTCGATGTTAAGTAAACATAAACCAGAGTTATTCGGTAAGTTAAGAAGGATTCTATCCATAGTAGTTGGAGGTTAGCTGCTCTTACGAGTCACAAGTTTGCTCATTTAGCCTCATCATAATTTGAAGAGCACCGATGGACTGCCACAATGCGGTACTCCATGTCTAATATGTACCGTCGTGTTAGGCAATAAAAACTGTGCCGCTGAAGTTTTGGCCGTGAAGATCCAACCAAAAGTCACGAGTTTATGCTTGTTGAGAGAATAGTTCGATAATGAAACAAACTCCATAATTCCGTGATTTTGGGGAGATATCTCGAAACTACTAGGCTGCAGCTGATGAGGAGTTATGAATCCATAATCAGTACTCCACATCTTTGACCCATATTCACTGTATGCTTGAAGGACTCGCAATCTCCAGGGTATGGACAATTAAATTTGCAGTGTCGCGTGAATGAGGAAAGAGTCAAGCTTTGCTTGGAGGTAATCTCAACCCCTTCCTACTACTCGAGCATGAGTATATATATCTGGCATCGAACTCAGAAAATAACCAGGCTCTAACCATCCAATCAACTATCTCATCTCAGCTCATCGAACATACGTCTTTAATTAAAATTTTAATCAAAAATATGCAGCTTTCTACTTACCTCGCTGTAGCCATCTCCGTCGGCAGCTCCAATGCCTTATATCAAGGATTTAACGCACAAGTACGCAATTCTGATGGATCGTGCAAAAAACAAGCAGATTGGGAGGCAGATTTCAATACGACACTTTCGCTCCCAGGAAACTTCAACAGCTTACGTCTGTTCTCCTCTTTGGAATGCGACGCCATAAACCTCATTGCGCCTGCCGCCATTGTTACCGGTGGTAAAGTTCTGGCAGGTATCTCGATACAACACCCAGAACTTTTTGCAGTAGAAAAGCAACAGCTATTGGAAGCTGTCAAACATCACGGTTCCGAATGGCTCGCTGCTGTATCGGTTGGGTACGACGATTTAAAAAACAGCGAGATCTTGTCTGATTCTCTAGCTAAAAAGATCGACGATGTTCGTGGTATGCTATACAACGTCACTGAAAGCAAAACAACCGTGCCTGTTGGACATATTGATAGTTGGACTGCCTGGGTTGATATAAATAACGCGCCTGCCATTAATGCCTGTGACTTTATCGGGACCAAGTTAAACCCATCCCTCCATAATAATGACTCGATTTCGATACAAGACAGCATCAATGTATACAACGACAACCTTAATCAAGTTAGGGAAGCCGTCGCAAGTGCTGGTTCTAATTCATCAATCTGGATTACCGAGGGTGGATGGCCTTCTATTAGTAACCCAGTAACCGAAATTGTACCCACCATTGAAATTGCTCAGACTATCTGGAAAAACATTACCTGCCCACTCTTTGAAACCAACAATATATTTTGGAGATCTCTACAACATCAACAAGAATCATCCTCTCTTGGTGTCCTTAATGCTGATGGCAAACCATTGTACGATTTAACTTGCTAATCTACCACCAAAATTTAGAGCTACATTCAAGTTATTTTAATATCAGTATCTGTGTGCTATTCGATATATGTATCTACATTTCTCAAGAGAGAACTTACTACGAATCAGCAACATTTCATAATTTTACCGATAGTCTGATGTCAGGGAGTGAAGCCACTAAGAGATGAAATGTAAATTAGTTATGTAAAGAGTACGAGATAGATTATAAAATAAACCCAAGTAGCTAAAATTTGCTAATTCATTTGCGTCCGCGAATCCTAGAGTGACACTGCTTAAAGCTTGAAACTTGACTTTAGTAAAGTATATAAAGTCTTGCAGAAGTAATGACACCTCAGTCATGTGGTTGAAGAGCACGCTTATTCAAGAGTGTTTGATTGTTTGTCATTTATTTAACGTTGTGCTACCTGACAGCACAACCGTAGGGTCTCGTGTTGACCAGCTCAGTCTACATAAACTTCCCGACGTGCCAACTCTTTTAAATAAGCCCATCATGTAATAAATAGGCGAAGGCCAAGGCCAGCTTACCCTGCGCCTCGAACTATTAAAAGTCAATAGTACACTCCCGCTGAGAGTTTTATTTTCCGATGCAGTAAAGGAAATAATTATCTATATTAAAAGGAAAGTTCTCCATCACCTAATCCAATAGTATTTTAATCTGAGCCATGACGAATACAGGTCAAGGCTCAATAGGCTAGGGTAATAGCTAGTGCCGTCATTGTGTTTCTGCGAAAAAGCAGGTATCTTGAGGCCATTTACTAACCGCTGTGCATTGATGTCCCCTACGAACCTCCAGCTCTCACTGTAGAGTCTGCATGGCCGAGATTGAGTAACAGAAACCTCACTTCGACGAGGATCCCTAACCGCTGTCGCGGTCTGTATCGTCTTCGTCTCTCAACACATCCTCCTATCACCATTATCATGAAGCTAACCACGATCAGATCAGATGGTAGGGTCGGAGCCCTTCTCATCAACAACCCTTGATCATGGATGAATAGTCATCCGACGAGCTTCCGGAGCGTATCAAGTACCCGATACGGAAATGGTGGACTGGATCAAGCTGGCCTCAGTTGTTACAGAGAAGGGAGATAAAGATGAATATTCACACCTCATGTAGTCCCGGTGTCTAGGCCTCGCCTGGCTGGGGCTGCAGGTTTTCTGAGACTTTTTCCCGCGCACGTAGTTTCCATTGCTACCATTTTTATTATTTTTGGATAGAAGGTTCCGTGGAAAAAGTGGCGGAATTCCACGGGTAAACACTGAGCTGGTTGGCTATTCATCAAGGGCAATATATCAATGATCTTCAAAGAAACATGAGAGGCAAGGAGCACTGTACAAGGTGCGGCCTGGGTCAGAGAGGAGCCCAATGTGCTACACAGTCTATGACTCAAGTAGCACAATAAAAAGTATCACTGAATGATATAAAAAAGATTAGTCTTTTTTTTGTATCAGACTTTAATTGCGTATGCAGCTATCTAGCTATGACACAATATCAAAGTAAAGTACATAATATATGACTCAATATACAAGAAGAGCATTTATGCCTCGGATTTCATTTACAAGTAAAAAAGATTGGTCAATTAGCGCACGGCTCAGTCCCTAAAGATCTGTCCGACGCACTGATGCATCCTACAGCAAACAAAAATGAAAGAGTCCGGCTAGCCATCTACCATCGCTAGTGTCGAGTGAAACGTTATCATTATCATGGCGATTGCAGAAGTTGTAGAAGATGGCAGCCAAAGTGTTTGCGCCATCAATGATAGGATAAATCACAGGACTTGTAGGGCTGGTCGGAAATGAAGTGGGGAACAAGCTCACTTGCAGAGAGCTATGGTGTCTGGAAAATACCATAGCCTTAATAGATCATCTGACACTGGCGGCAGTAGGGCGAAATTTCGCGAACTGGTAAGGCAACTGTCAGAAGACCGGTGAGACTCAGCTCGTCCAAAATGACTGACAGATATCCAATTTGGGATGTGGCACAGGAAAACGCTCGAGTTTGCCCTCCATAAAGCCGTCTATACTTGATTTTTTATGGCTCCAACAAGACTTGCTCAATTTGCCGCATATCACCGCCGCTTCCATCATACAATAACCTCACTATGCTACGAGTACAGCAGAAAAAACTTGGTGGGCAATGCTTTCCACTGTAGAAGAGCACTCCCAACATTGCAACTGAAACGTAGAATGCAGAGGGCGACGGCGTTGGTAACTCTGCTCAGTTCAAGGGGATGGCGGCTGATCAGAGAGTAGGTCTAGGGAAGTGGAATATACGCAGTTTTAAGCCATGGTATCGGAGAGGTACTAGTGTCAAGCATATTTTCTTTAATTACATTGATATTCTTTCTTAGTCTATGGCTACACAGTAAATGCAAGTCATTGTGAAGCGCATTATAAGAGGGTAGCCACTGATGATGAAAAATACACCTACGATCGATATGAAAGAATGCTCAGGCGCATATTTGAGTGGAGTTGGTTTTCTACTCCTTTTCTGAAAACAAGGTCTGCATAGAAGTTTTCATTTTTTTTAACTTTGGGATGCTGTACTCGGCGATGTTGGTTGGTTCGGTGTCTATTTTACTGCTTGAATCTGTGACTATCTAGCAAGTTAAGATCCTCCTGACACAGGCCACACCTTGTCCAATGATCCTTTCCAATTTTACAAAAATAGGTCTCTGATACAATGCTCACCAAGGATATCTATTTAGCCCAGTAATTGATTGTTGAATCTAGCCTCCTCTATCATAGAGCCTTATATACAAAGAAATAAAATTGTTAGTAATACCATTCTATAGAATAGTATAGAATTAAATTCAAGTCCCTCCTGAGTTTATGACTATGAAGGACCAAAAATGTTAGAAATAGAAACCGCGTGCGTGGAAAATAATCTTATAAAATCTGTAGTCCTAGCTGGGCAAGGCCCCAACACTGAAGCAACACGAGGCGCGCATATTCATCTATATCTCTCTTCCTTGTGACATGATAGGCATACTTGATCCAATATGTAGCCATATACGGTGCTAGCTAAGCTCCAGAAACTTATCGGATGGCCTCTTTTCTATAACCAAGAGTGGGTGATAAGTGGGGCTTCGATCCGACCATCTGATCTGATCGTGGTCAGCTTCATGATAATGGTGATGGGAGAGTTTGCTGAAAGAAGATGGCGATACAGACCGCGACAGCGATTAGGGATCCTCATCAAAGTGAGGACTCTGTTACTCAATCTCGGCTCTGCAGACTCTGCAGTGAGAGCTAGAAGTTTGTAGGGAATATCACCGATAAGTGTCGAGCCTTCGTCCGCCCATTTAATGTAGTGCTAGTGCACAGTTGATGATACTGGTCAGGTTCCGGACGGCTCGCCCTCCAGAACCCTAAAACTACAAAAGATCCGACCAGCACTCCGCCACTCTGATTTCCGACAAAGATCTAGCAAATCTACACTTACCAGGAACTTTAAGTCCATCTCATTAGTGGAGCAAAATTGCCCCCACAGATTCCGCAGTGTTTAGAGAAATTTTAAAAAAGGACACACCGAATAGGAAGAGAATTAATATGTATATTCTAAGCCGACAGTATATTTACGCAAGCACTGTTTTATCTAGGAACGATGAAGCGGGTTCGTCGAACCTTGCCGAAAATTTTCGTCGGCCTGACCCATTTTCCAAAGGCGAGGGCACCCTCATAAGCAGAGCCACGTCTATCGATGTATGTAAGAAGCAAGGAACTGTCGTTTTCTACTTTCTTCGACTTGAGTTTCGGACCATCATAGTGATCTCTCAAGGGCACTTAGAAGAGCGAATCTAGACGCCTAGGCAACTGTCACAATAGTAGCTTGAATAGGAGGGCGCGACGATTGTGAGGGTGGATACCGAGTTAAAAGATCGGAAGGAGCTAGGGGAGGACGTAGCACAAGACAGGCTTTTCATACATTCCGATGTATCAGCTGCATTCTCTCTTCAGGTGGCCGAACATAGACCCCATAAACGCGAAAAGGCCGGGCTGGGCAGCGACGAGCTGAGGTTTTGTGAGGTTCAGCGAATACAAGAGACAGGTGCATATCCACTCGGCTAAATTACTTTCCCTAGTTGGAATAGCTAAAGTTTGTATGGCTCGGTGTAATCACGTGATATTCACAGAGTATATTTGGCTTGGAAAACTGGAATTCGCATAAACTCGAGAAAATTATGCACAACCATTAACAAAAATATGTCCATGGAGAGCAAAACAGAAGCTTCCCTACGGCCAACCCTCGAAGCAAACATTGAAAGAATATTAGAGCTTCTGAAAGAAGATGACAACCACCAGGGTCTAGCTGTAACTCCAAAAACCTCTACAAAATTAAACGTCCTAGACCTTGCCCATGATACAGCCTCTTTGGTACGGGCCCATATAACAAAGCTTTCCCTTTTAGTTACAAACAGGCCCGTTACAGTTTCTGCAGTCAATAGAATTTTGGATGAGCTTGCCGCCGGCCCGATTCCTAGCCTATTTATTACAATAGATCTTTGCATTCCAGAATTATATACTTCATTGATTAGCACAGAATTGAAATCTAGGACAAAAAGAATTATATCCGAGCTTCAGTCACTGATTAAGAAATTATCATCGGAAAGCCAGCTACTAGACGATAGCCCGACCAATTGCTCAGAAAAAATAAGAAAGGATTTTTTGTTCGTGACAGGCAAAGTTTGGGATTCTTGTGATTCTCTAATGGAGCTCCGGACCCTTGGAATTGCTGGTCTACTAATCAGGAAAGCTGAAGAGTATCGAGATCTGATTAAAGATGCATTATACGAGCTACAGGAATGGGCTTTAGAGGAGAGTGATGAAGAAGACTTAGATGAAGCACAATCTGGAGAAAAAATATCCACGAAAATTGTTCATTCGTTTGGCTCCCCTAGACATGTCCCTGATAGTGACCCAACTTCCATTCGCCCCAGAATTCAGGCGACCACCAAAAAGTTACGCCTAACAACCCTTTTATTCGAGGCTATCATAAAACGGAGACTCAAGACTCTTCCAGTTTTACCGAGAATAGAGATCGATGCCAATCTAGACGAAAATCCCATAAAAACCGTTGAAATTGTTCGTCTCTTAGATTGCGTCCTCGAAATGATGAAGAAAATACATGACATCACTGATGATTTGGTAAGCTCCTTCTACGATTTGGATGTGGAGCAGATAGATCTCGAGATAGATAGATGCTTTTCCCTAGCTTCTAAAGCTTCTGGGATACTATTGAACGATTGGAGAGGCAAACAAGACCCTTTCAGTAATTGGGTGAGTTTATTTCCTGGTGACCCATGGAAAATCTCTAACATTGTCTAGGTTTTAAAATTCCAGTCAGAAATGGCCGTAGAGAGATTTTCTGAATGAGTAATATCAACTATAACTCTGGACATAGGAGACGACCAAATGTTTTTGTTCGACAGATTAATCTCCAGTACACATAGTATCAAGATATGATATGCTGTCCCTAAATTTAGGCTGACAATATAAATGGAAGCACGCAACAAATAGATTATTTTCTATTTGCCCAGTGTACATCTACAAGGCTTACTTGTGTATTCATAACTGATCAATGCCCCTGCTAGAATTTGGCTCAAATTCGAATAAAAACGGCAATAAATATTTAAATCGCCTTTCTCATAATGAAATAAACATGAATAACAGTATTATCCCCTTCAATTTCTAACATCGGTTTCAAAAGCCCATCTCCCAATGCAGTTGTGAAACTGCAAATACACGACACCTGGGATATACACCACTATACGGCAAGATCAACTTACAACACAAGCAGAATTAAAGAGCAAGAAATTTTCTATATCTTAGACCTGACTACCTTTTATACATCAAACTAAGCTACTGAATCTGTCTCCCAAAATTCTTGGATCATTTTAAGCAACAAAAATATCAATTTTCTGAGATCCATGATTGTAATAGCTGATCAGTATAATATGGCGAGAAAAATATACTTATTAGCAAGGTCTTATCACTTGAAAGTTTTAGCTGTAGTAATTATCGCTAAATATATCAATATATATGTCACAGAACAATTACTTATAAATTTTTAGAGGGCAAATTTAAGAGGCTATTCACTCGAAAGTTACTCACCCGTAATACGAGGATTCTGCTCGAAATCTCACGGACCAAGAATTTGCAGAGAAGATGTGGTCTAAGTAACACACAATTGGATAAGATTTCAAATTACATGGGATATAATAAGTAATCATGATCAGTATGAATGCTCAATTTTTACCGGAAAGCTGCGCAGCATTCCACGCTACCTTTTCAATTTGACTTCGTAATTCAATTTCTATCTCTTATATACCCCGCTTCCATCGCAACATTTTCTGTTCAGAAACATGGTAGATGATTTTTTGTAGATTAATGTGCTAGGTAACTGCCATCCTCCACACTCCTATTGATCTTAAGCACGAGTGGGTCCGGGCCGGATCAAGTTGACTATCATACAAGTCTAAAAACCTCGTCCCACCTTAATGACCGGACCGTCTTAGACTTCACCCATGTGTTTAACATGTCAAGTCTAATCGTCCAGAGAACCCGATCAAAGCATGCTGAGACGAAAACTACTCCTCAGCCTCAGCCACCACACGCCCGAGCTCTTGAAAATATGTTTTATATAGGAGCTTGTTTGGTGAATTCTAGCGGTCCTCATGCGTCGTGAAATTCGATAGCCGTACAAAATCTCCAAGGACGTGGTACATTAGAAGCTCTTACTGCTCTAACTTTTATGTTATGCGATCAATAAGAGAAAAGCACAGTACTCATTACTCTTAAGAAAGATACGTGGGACACGGTATTACGTTGTAAATGTTGACTGGAGAACCCTTACTGCTACAGATGAAGTTTATGTACTGATAATCAGGTCATGTGACCTGAATAGCTTAGTTTACATGAGTATGTGAAATAGTTCCTCTTGATAATTACTCAGATGAAGATAATTATATTTTCATCATCAGGAATGAAATTGTGGAGTCCATAAGGGCCTTCGACTTACACAGCAGCGCCTTAAAAGTTGTATAGATATTGAAAGTTCACATAGAAGAAAAGAAATTAGCTCTTCAGGGAGTGGTCAATAAGGATCTAGTGAATCTCACTCGTATGGTGGTTCCAACGATAGTTTCAGAACTATCAACCTCAAAAACAAACGTATTGTTGGTAACGCCACCTACGGCTATTGCAGTTGTCAGAATACGCATAGAGGGAACTAGAGTTATGTATCTACCAACGCTGCTCACAAGGACTCCGAAACATATTCTAGGAGCATGTACTTGCGCCATATGCAGAGTAATGGTACTGAGGTGTTTGTGTAGTCGGTGAACTAGAAACATACAGCTCTAAACATGATGAGACTGGAGGTTTTGAAGGTCCTACCACAAGATTTTCCTATGGAGGTTTGCGCATTCTCTTTACGGACAAAAATTGAAGACAAATTTGTCAACACATATTTGAGCCGGGAGATCGAGTCGTAAAAAAATCCAAAATCCAAAGTGCAGGACAAAACATAAATAAAACTAATGGATACATTATATAGGAACTTGAACGGGCGATAAGAAATAGCCATAGTATAGATTCAGTAATTTTGGGTCTTTTTGTGGAGCCTTTGCTAGTACAGTTTATCCAATGAGAATTGTGATCAACGCCATGCTTTACTAGACACAGATGTATTTCCAGAGGGCTCACGGTGTTTAGGCTTCTCCTGGCTGGGGCTGCAGGTTTTTTGAGGCTTTTTCCCGCGCACGCAGTTTCCATTGCTACCATTTTTATTTTTTTTGGGTAGAAGGTTTCGTGGAAAAGATGGTCGAATTCCACGGGTAAATACTGAGCTGTATAGCTATTCATCACGGGCAATATATCAACGATCTTTGGAGTGACAAAGGAGGATAGGAGCACTGTACAAGGTAAAGCCTGTGCCATAGAGGAGCCCAATATGCTAGACAGTCATAGACTCAAGTAGTACAATAGACATACCTCCCTCTCTCTCCTGAGGGCTCAGCAAAAGTAGGACTATGGTTTCGGCTGATGAAGAAATACATAGGTACTTTGAGGAAGGTAGGCCGATGCAATGGTTGTGCTAGTGATCACTAGGCTCGAAATTATCCGAGGAGACGTCTATCTGGTGTTGGCTGAAGCTAGAACTATCGTTCATGGCAAAAGGTAGCATATCAAAACTTGAAGGCTTCAAGGGGGGTGTTCAGAAAGACTGTTTTGAGCTTTCGAAATTTATGGGGAAGATCCAACCGGAGATTATCCAGCAAATTGCCGTTCAAAACGAATCAGCGATAATGGATAAGGGATTCACTCTGCTTCCCATCAAGGAAGTTGAACTAGCGGGGAGGCGGCTAATACAGGTGGCTGAAGACTCAATGTTGGTAATTAACTCGCTTAGAGCCACGACGCCAGCAGTTCCAGCCATCCAAACGACTATGAGGATAGAAAATGATAGTAAAAAGATTCTTCCATACTACACCTGAGAAGTTTATATGGATTTAGAGGAGGTAAATATGTGGTGGCACTGAAATAATAGAACAAAAGTGTAGTTTAGGCATGCAGTCTTGGTTTGCAGTCGAGATAAACTCATGGGCTTTGTGCCTTGAAAGTTTTTTTCCATCCTAAAATAACTGTGAAGGGGAACTATTTGACCTACTTGTGTAAACTAAGCTAGTCAGGTCACATGACCTGACTATCAGCACATAGACTTCATCTGCAGCATCAGGGCTATCTAGTCAATATCTACAACGTAATACCGTGTCCCACGTATCTTTCTTAAGAATAACTTAAAGTCTTTATTTTTGTAAATTAATAATTTAATGGCAACTAAATCATTAATAGACCCAGTTCAGCCATCCCATCTCGGCAAAAGATACCGATGGCTTTTTTAAATTACTTTACGTCGTGCCGGCGCACAACACTAAACTACGACGGCCAACTGCAGATTAACAATGTCTAAATAGGCTACCTAATAAGAAAGATACGTATGACTCGGTATTACGTTGTAAATGTTGACTGGAGAACCCTACTGCTACAGATGAAGTTCGTGTACTGATAATCAGGTCATGTGACCTGAATAGCTTGGTGGACATGAGTAGGTGAAAGACTACCCCTAAACAGTTTAGATACACCTTTTAAAGTCAAAAAGCTTCTCTCGCGGTTGAATACGATAGGCAGCTAGATGTCATCTACATTGTTTGATGTGGCCCCTTTCGAACCAGTTGTCAATTTAATTCTGAACCATGCGTCTAACCTTACAGCTTGGAACTCACTCTTGCGGCTTATTATTGAACTTGAATCAATCATGTCAGCTACAGAAGACTAGCTCTACGAACTTGCTACTGAATCTATATAACGACGAGTAGTAGATTCACATGGCGGGGCACAAATAAACATGGAGAATCTAAAGCAAGCCTTGAGCGGAGAGTTGGAAGGCTCGGTGTTTGAGAACGTGATCGGCTTTTGGGACAAATACTTTGATTCGAAACGGATAAAGGTCGAGCGTGACGGCCTTACCAAGAAATTTGCGGAACTATCGGCCGAACCAAAGTTCCAATTTCCCGCTATCCCGACAGAAGATGCGGTATGGAGATGGATGCACGTTATCGAAAATGACCTAATAAAAGCCTATCGGAACGCCACTGATTCAATAACAAATGTCGCTGCGAGTACGGCAGAAGAGCGGGTTGTATTAGCTTTCACTGGAGCTCAATTTCATACTCTCGCAGTCGGAAAAAGCATTGGTGTCAGGCGCAGGTTCACTAGGCGCAGGACTCGAGGCGTAGGAGAGGGCGTAGCGTAGGATGTACTGAGGAAGGACGCCTCGTGGTAACGCGGAGGGCTTTCTAAAGAAGTGGTAAAAGGGAAAGCGGGTAGTCGTTCTAGATAGAGGGGCCGGAGGTGACAGTAGGTCACTATGTTTGGCAGAGGACGAGAGTGAGATGTGATTAGAATAATGTAACTATTCCTAAAGACAGAAAACAAAGCGTGAAGTTATCAATCTCGGAAATGGAAACTACATAGGTGCCCTTGCTAAGCAATAAAGACTAGTGGGATTAAACAAGGAACCCATAAATCCTGCCTGAGGCATTTCTTATGAATCCTTACAATTGGAAACCAATCAAAACGACAAGTAGATTATTTCATTAAAAGTCGAAACCTTCCGATTGAGGACCTGTACCATTGGCGTGATATTCTTGTGGTAGGTGAACTCACGGTATCTTCGTCGAAGGTTTCCCGGCAAATGTTTCTGCAGCTCAGTGTATACATGCGTGAAGTTTTTATGGCTCAGCCCCTTCGTCGTTTTGTTCACGGATTTATCCTTTTCGAAAAAGACCTGCAACTCTGGTTACGCGACCTTTCAGGACCGTATTCTTGTTCGTGCATCGATATTGGTGAATCACTAGAGAAACTTGTACATGTCTTGGTGACGTACATGTTGATGAACGACGAGGAACTCGGTCTAGACACCAAAGTCAAATATGAAGGTGAAAATATGATAGTCCATCTTCAGGTGCCTGGGTCGAAGGAAACACGGAAGTTTATCTTGGACCCCGTCCAAATCTCTCAACAGAAGGCATATCTTTGTAGGGGAACAAGTTGCTACAAAGACAGGAACCTCAGCTGCGTGGTCAAGTTCTCGTGGAGAATATGCGACGGACTCTCAGAGATTGAGCTTCTTTAGATGGTGGACAACATACCGGGCATGGCAAAGATACTTGGATCAGTTGATCTGGTAAAAATAAGCCAGCTTCGCGAAAGTCTTCTATTCACAAAGACTATGGTCAAAGACACCCGTCCGACAGAGAAGATCATGACTACGCCATATGACTTAAGTGGGGAGATCACAAAGATTCCGAAAGAAAGCGTGAATAACGACCTGAGCCGAAAGCAAAAGAGGGAGGCACTTGAAGCTGAAAAGGAGATGGCTGGGTCAATCAAAAAAGCACGATCAATCCAAGAAAGTAGGCAAAATCATTACGTTGACATGGAAGTTTCTACTATCATCAACACAGATACAACTACTAAAAACAAGTTACCGAGTTGAATTATACTGTCTCCTCATCACAGACGCCGAAAAATCCAAACTGTGGAAGGGCAAATATCACGGGAGTTCCTGCACAATCATTGAATCACCCTGTCGACAGGAAAAGGAAGACTGTTGGTGATGCCGAAGTAAACAATAGAATGAAGAGAATTCAACTATCAAGCAACGCCGGCTTAGCTATAACAGATAACTCTGCAGGACCAAGCACAGTTCCTGGAACGACTCAAAATCCACCAAAGTCAAGTGCCGATGTCAGATCTAGTAGATCGAAAGCGGGAAAAGATTCTGTCATGAAGCCGGTAAAAATGGTGAATTCTCAAGTCATAATTCCACGTGACCGTCAATTTACCGCTGCCAGGATCTCGCCGTACGGGCGGCCGATTGAAAAGTTTTATTAATTCATGAATTCATTTTATTGTCTTGTCTGTGTCTATGAGTATGTAGGACATTTATCGACTTTGAACTTGTTGTCGACATTGTATATGTATGTCTGTTATCATAGACATGGGAAATAATTCATGAGATTGCTTAATGAGAGGCTAGTATTGATTCCGACATAATATTGTAGAAGACTTGTCCCAACTATCAGAGGGCGTCAATGTCTTTATCTATCTACAGGTAAATTCCCCATATTCCAACCAGGCTAGCCATACAGGACGTAGCATATAAAACCTGATTCGTATCATCATTTTGGGGTTGAGGTTTACCGTGCATATGCTACTCGAGTCGCATATCTGACAACTATGCGACACACTCAGGTATCAATCTAACAACCCACACCAAACCGAAACTATTCACAACCCTGATGATGACCCCATGAATAATTTTAACAGTAGCCTGCAACATAGCACAATTAGGCTAGATATCGTTGACTAGGACCTAATCCGAACAGACATGCAGGTCCTCTCTGCCTACAGGCCAAGGATACCTATACCAGTAGTATATCCCCTCCTATGCCTCCCATACAGCTCCCCTCAAACAGTTTGTTGTTTATTCCATTTACATCCTGTCTAAGTGTTGGGAATATCGCGCAATGTAATGGGCGCAATATTCATGGAACGAAAGTAGAAGTTGACTAAAAGAGTGTCATGTTCGGATTACAGCTAAAAGTGTGGGAAGTGTGCGCTACAAGTACAAATGTAAGCGACACAGAGCCTAAGCCACAGCATAAACGAGTGTGGCGCCATCTAGGCATAGAAAACCCCCAATAACCTCCTTGCGCCCACGCCATACAGCCGCTCATATGTCCAATAGGTAGCCTGAAGCGCTACCATGTTACCTATTCCAACCTCTTACATACACACAAGATCGTGTCGGGAACCTAGACGAAATGGAGGGCCCATACGTCCACAACACTCCGTGTCTCCATTTCCAACACTAAGTCTAAGACTATTGTAGGACGTTCCCCTCAAACAGTACCGCCCCTCACAAGTCCTCATTCGATCATACACTTAGAGGAGCCCTTAGCCCTTCATTATCTCCCCTCTCCAGCAAACGAAGCGATGGCCATTTGCGGGTGTATGGCAGCCGGGAAAATTTGCAAAAGCCACTGGGTGCGGAGCTCTCCTAATACCGACATTAGGACTAGATCCGAGAACATAGTGCTCCTTCTGAAGCGTTCGAAGAGGCAGGCCAGCTGGGCGCTGTAGACTTGTGGGTACCTCGGAGAATTCACCCTCTGCCTTTCTAGCCTCCTTCCAACTCCTTCCCGAAGATCGTGCTGAAATGTCAGAAAAGCCTTGACAGAGCGTAATTGCTGTATGGTAGCTTAGCCAAACTTCTTTTGTGCCGTCCAGGGCGCTGGGGAGTGCCGTTGACTCATCGACAATTGAAGTCCTCCTGGCTAATTAGCCGAAATCTTGGTCCTGGCACCCACAAAAAATCCAAAGTTGAAAACCCGTCGAAAATGTTAGTCACAGGATGTGTAAAGGGTCCAAGGAATTCGGAAGTACTCGAAAGTCGTTGACTCAATAGGAATTAATTATTTTTCCTTGGGAAGCTAAACTACTGTATCGTATCCTGCCTTTTATGTCTTCCGCGTACGCTAGTGTTAACTCCCCCCTTTGGCCATATGAGAATACTCCTTTCTCCCGGCTATCTTCCTTAGCTCCCTGAGAATCATCCTTTCTCCCGGCTATCTTCCTTAGCTCCCTGAGAATCATCCTTTCTCCTGGCTACCCTCCTTAGCACTATGAGAATCATCCTTTCTCCCGGCTATCTTCCTTAGCTCCCCTTTAGTCTATCCAGGGGCGTTGCTCTGCCACTACCTTACCTTAGAGACGGAGTGGTCCTAGTGACCAGTCCCAGTCCGGGCAAAGCCCGTCACAGGATGGTCTTCAAAAACCTGTTCCCCTCTCGTTCCACATCTCAGCCGCCTGTCCCTCCTCAAGATGTATAACCACATTAGAGTATCAGTCCCCCATAAACCAAGACCCCAACTTTGTATATTATGACTTAATTTCCTCCTTGCGGGTATACGTAGCGTCGTAAATTTGTAGTGAGTGATGGCCGGTAATGATTGAGGCAAGCTCCTCTTTGCAATTGGGGTGACGCCTTTATCGGTCGTCGAGGCGAGATGATGTGTGGTTAGAAAGAGGTTGAGGACTCAGAAGATAATGGTGAGTGATGCATGATTGAGAAGTCATCAAATGGAGATGTACTTGAGGTTGCTTTCGACTTCGATTCGGATGCGATTCTTCTTGGCTATGCCAGATATGCAGAGCATACTGAGCGATTACACCGGCACCATTGGAAGGTGAAGAATTCGTCTTTGCTGGCACGCTCCGGATATTCATCGGGTGGCTTCTCCTCCTTGATCAAGGGTGGGTGATGAGTAGGGCTTCAACACTACCATCTGATCTGATCATGGTTAGCTTCATGACAAGGGTAATAGGGAAAACCACTGATAGATGATAAGAATAGTCACCCGCAATATATGTGTGTTCGCGTAGGTAATGGGTCTCTCGATGATGTGATGGTTCATATTTTCATTCATTTCTCTAGTTTAATGTCCTGTGCGGTATCTATGTACAGAACCATGAAGACGGGAAAAAGCCCACAAGCAACCAAAACCTATAATTCCACCGCGACGACACAGCCAAGATTGATGCTCAAGATGTGTTGCGAAACCAACTTAGACACTCCCCGTGCTTGTGGTTTCAGTATGTGTCCATCAAGATTGTCGGGTGCTGCCCATCCGCTACTAGTTACACCATCATCTTTTGTTACGTTTGATATTCGAGAATGCGACGAGTATACGCGTAACTGCTATCAGAGCTGTAGTTTGTTCAGTTGTATCCCGTAATGAGGCATGACACTCTGGTCCATGTCATTGCCAGACACCAATGTATATAGACAGTCTCATATCCTTTGGTAAAGATGAAGAGTTTCGATCAAGCCTTTACTATAAACATAATTCACATCTACGGATACCCTTTGAAGTATATACCTCGTTATTTCTCCGTGATCACTCGAAGAGTTCTGCATATTCTTAGTTTATTTCCAATAGGATGTCCCTTTGTTTCATTTAATTTTGTTTCACCCCAAATGTTAACTCCCCTATCGCCCCGATCCCGACTCATCTGAAGTTCAGATGATTTCATTCAACATCTTTCTCTCCTCTTTTCTATGATGGGATTGCTGGAACTGCTGGCGTCATAGCCCTAAGTCTATTCAGTACTGCTGTTGAATCTGCGATAACATTTCGTGGACATCCTGGTCCCCCGTGGTTCTTATGTTGTTCTCAGATGCTGGCGCCTCAGCCTCGTGACTAACTACATATCAACTCAATGCGATCTATATCTGGGCTCATTTACATCCCAAAATACCCCAAGGCAGTAAGATTTGGCGTCTTATGTCATACTTAGGATGAGTATTAGGTAGACGTAAAATAATAAACCAAACCAACATTCCAAAAACGTGTTATGACAATAACAGTAGTATATGACGATCTCATCTACACTTCACTAGAATGTAGACAAAAATAGGACAAGTGATCGACACTCAATCCAGGGCTGACCGGTAGGGCAAGGCATAATTTAACATGACCATTCCGCCAACCATCCTGTCCACCTGGTTCCTGCGGCGTAGACAAGCATTTAGATTTATGGGGCCCCTGGACCACTGGGCCGTCAGTTCCGACCAGTGATCATGTCGCTTAACAGAGCTCAAGTGAAGATTGTACCATTTAGTACACTGTGGATGCTTAGTACTTGATAACAATTGTACTGCAGATGCTTAAGTATTAATGCATCTCTGATACCTCCGAGAAACTCGCTGCGCAGTTTCCAACTTTGTTCAAACGGTCCAGAGGTTAGCCAAGTATCGATGAGAGCGAAGATTGATGTCCCCGAGTTTTCATGGCTGCTGAGCTTGTTCCCGTTCACCATGACATCAAGGTTATAGACAGGGGATAGGATATTGTTGGTGACTATATTGTGTCATTGACAATGGCTTACCCACATAATATATGGCCCATGGGTGGTTCTTGGACCCTCATTCCATCGGATCTGATCAATGGTTCGTGCCTAGAGCCTACTAACTGGCGTCTTCCCCATTAAGTTAGGCCATTAGCGCTCAATTGATTTGCATCTACAAGACGTAACTATTTAATGGATCATTTCACCCCCGTTCCAACAGCATCATAATCCACAATAAGTTAAGAAAATCCAAAAACATGGCTTCGAGTGTATCAACTTACGCTCTACCCGAGTCCCACAAACAGGTATACGCTCAAAAACTAATAGTATGCTCATATGCTAATCCTTACTTCAGTTGATGGAAAAATCTTTACTAGAATCGGATCCAGAGGTGGCAGAGCTTATGGTAACAAAACACAATAATGTATTACTGTTAAAAATTAATAATTATCCAGAGATTGGAGATAAAACGTCAACGCGAATCTATTATACTTATTGCTTCAGAAAATGTCACTTCTCGCGCTGTTTTCGATGCCTTGGGCTCACCAATGTCCAACAAATATTCCGAAGGTTATCCAGGTGCTAGATATTATGGCGGAAACGAGCATATAGATTCAATCGAATTGATGTGCCAATCCCGTGCGCTGACAGCCTTCAGCCTTAATCCGGAGGAATGGGGTGTCAACGTTCAGTGCTTGAGCGGCTCACCCGCTAATCTACAAGTCTACCAAGCTGTAATGCGACCACATGAAAGATTAATGGGACTTGACTTACCTCACGGAGGTCACTTGAGCCATGGCTATCAGACTGCAACAAGAAAGTAAGTGGATTTGATCATACATACTATCTATACATCTAACTTGGCTAGAATATCAGCTGTATCCACTTACTTTGAGACCCTACCTTATCAAGTCAATCCCGAAACTGGAATAATTGACTACGATAGACTTGAAGAAAACGCCAAACTATACCGCCCAAAAGTTTTGGTTGCCGGTACCTCCGCGTACTGTCGGCTAATAGACTACGCTCGTATGCGGAAAATAGCTGATGCTGTCGGTGCATATCTTCTCGTAGATATGGCTCACATCTCTGGACTGATTTCTGCTGGAGCAATACCCAGCCCATTTGATCACGCTCACATTGTAACTACTACAACCCATAAGTCCCTTCGCGGTCCACGCGGGGCTATGATATTTTTCCGCAAAGGAGTCCGAAGCGTGGACGCAAAAACTGGCAAGGTAACCATGTACGATTTAGAAGGCCCTATCAATTTCTCCGTTTTCCCTGGTCATCAAGGTGGACCTCACAATCACACAATTACTGCACTTGCAGTAGCCTTAAAGCAAGCTAAAACACCTGAGTTCATAGCTTATCAAGAGCAAGTCGTCAAGAATGCTAAAGCAACTGAAATTGAGCTCAAGCGGTTGGGCTACAAGCTTGTTGCCGATGGAACAGATTCTCACATGGTCTTGGTTGACCTCCGACCTCAGCAGCTTGATGGAGCACGTATCGAGGCTATGCTGGAACAGATTAACATTGCATGTAATAAGAATGCGATACCAGGAGACAAATCAGCACTAACTCCTTATGGAATCAGAATCGGGACCCCTGCGATGACATCTCGGGGATTTGGTACAGAGGATTTCCAAAAAGTTGTAGGCTACATTGATCAATGCATTAAGTTGTGTAAAGAGGTTCAGAATTCTCTACCAAAGAAAGATAATAAGCTCAAGGACTTCAAGGCCCGGGTCGCTAGCGGTGAAATAGAAAAGATTAATGAATTGAAAAGTAGCATTGCATCTTGGGTGAGAGATTTTCCTCTGCCTGTTGAGGGCTGGAGAGCAGAACTGTAATCAATGGTATGATTCAGCTATCAGCGGCAACAATACAATGTGAAGGACTATAAACTGAACAAAAGCTGAGTTCAACTGGACTCTAATTAAACCAGCTCCCTGTGCTGGGCTTTATTAATTAACTTTATAAATACTAAATTACATTCAAGAACTCTTTTACTTCGTTATCAAGTATGTGCTGCCTATCTAGCTATGACACATCTAAGAATACCATAGGCCTGCTGGGACATCAGCAATTTAAGTTTTGTTTTGTTTTGTTCATTTACGTGCTAGGTTAAGTGATTCCCGATGCACTCCTACTAGAGCTTAAGCACGGTTGGGGCCGGGCTGGATCAGGTTAACTACCGTAAAGTACAAGTGCTTCGTCCCACCTGAATGATCGGATCACCTCAGACCTCACTCATGTGTTGAATCATGTCAAGCCCAACCGTCCAGAGAAGCCTCTTTTGACGAGCCGAAGCGCAAATTCCTCCTCAGCCTCGGCCACCACGCGCCCGAGCCCTAGAGACCTTCGCGATCTGTGACATTTTCCTTCGATTAAGTCCCAGCTTTGGCTCATCTCATCCAGGGGTCGTATTCTTCATTGGAGGCCTCATCCAGTCGCCCACCATGGCCTCCTCAGTTTGTATTCCCTTTTGGTTCCTTCATGTAGCATACCTTTGTCGTTTAGCCAGCCTCGTCATCCTAGAAACTTTATAGAATGTCCACCCCTCCGGCCTTGCCCCGTCGCTGCCATACCCCTAACCGTGGAGGTCGAAAACGCGACTGAGAGCTCAAGACCGAGACACCGATGCCCCAGCGTTTGTCGAACGCTCTAGTTGGAGTGCCGGCGAAATGTCGTACGTTTTTCGTCGGTGGCGATTCGTCGCAGGTCGAGTTGTTGGTGCCCTTGGCCGAGGTGAGGACGCATTTAAGGCCGGTATTTCGATCGTATCTTCACAGCGACTGGCAGTTGCGGAGGGTCGAACATCTTCTTGCTTCTTGCCGGCGATTTGACTTTTGGAGGTATGGGATTGTTTCGGTAGGTGGTGAGATGGTTTTGGAGCAGCAATTTAAGTCTAACTATGTAATGTTAAATTGTATCAATCTCAACTAAACACGCTCAATTTAGGAAATACTCCTAATTGTGCAGAATCACCAAGCGATATCTCATCTTGGCTAATTCTACAAGATAATTCTGATTTAGCTTGATAAACAGCTCTAATTGTATTACCTCTACTGATGCTTAGAGTCTAAAAGGCTCTAGTGCACAAAAGTTACATATGAATAAATTTGTAATCCATTATAATTCAAAGTTAGGAGTAAAATGTAATTTTTGCATGAAATGCTGCGCAGCACTCCATGCAACCTCTATCATAAATCCGACATTGTGATTCATATTTTTATCATGTATTTACCTTCCAATCTTCTGTATATCCACCGCGCCACAACATGACGGATGTGGGATTCGGTGTGGTCAATACTAGCTGTCCCAACGTGTCACTAAATGTAGTTAAGGCCGAAAAAAATCAAGGCAGTGGTGTTAAAACAGCTCCTATAGATAGAAACATGGAAAATTAACGGAAGCCAATGAAGAATTTTAGAATTCTCTACTCCGAAAACGAAAATGGTATCACCATCACCTCGGAAGACATCACGGAAGCGGGAAGAGCCTTCAACATAAACAGCAGGGAATGGAAGGAATTGTAAATATTAAAATCTTCCATTGAGGAAAAAATGTAGGCTCTTGAGGAAGCAGTCAATAAGAGTCTAATGAAAACCGTCCCAAGGCGCTTCCGTCAACATTTTTAGGAGCACGGACACCGGGAACATGCGCATCGATCGCTGCGCCGCCAATAGCCAAAACAGCGCTTAGAATGCGCGTTGATGGAGCGAAAAAGATGCATGCAGCAGAGCTGCTTACAACGGTACAGAAACACATATTAGGAGCATACGCAGTACGCTAAACACTGAGCAGCGACACCGGGGCATTAATTTAATCGGCGGGTCAAAGATATACGGCCCTTAACTTTGTGGAGATTCAGAACTTCCATGTTCCACGGTAATACCTTCCAGTAGAAGTTTGCGGAGTCCCGTTGAGGACGAAAACACAAGGGGGAAAATTGGTCTACGACTCAGCCCTTATTAGGGATATAGAGCTGTCCACAAGAATCCCTGTTCGAGCACTTAATATCAATGAAATAAGATGGATACACGATGGAAAGGATCATGAAGAATGGCCGCACAAGGTGGTCGATAATTCTGAGCCCCTCCACGGAGGCTATGCAAGAACAAGCGGTCCGATAGTGCATCGCCTTCAATGCCATGCTATGTCCGGCACGAATGTGGTCTCTCAAGGCAAAACCAAAGCAATGCTACAATTGCAGCCAATGGAGACATGGACAAGTGTCGTATGGAAAGGAAGCCCAGTTAAGCGAGTGTGGATGCTCTCAACTGACACGGTACTGCTAAAGAAAAAGTGTTTCATGCCTTAAATGCGGCACGTAGCATCGTTCACAGCAATGAGTGGCGTGTCCGGCTTTTCAAGCCTACAAGGGGAGTATTCAGAAAGACCGTTAGGAGCTCTCGGAGCAAATAGCGGAGGTCCTACAGGTGGCTATCCCGAAAACTACGACACAAATTTATTGACCGCTGACGAGCAGGGATTCAACCTGGCCGCAAACAGGAAGCTTGATTCACCAAAGAGGGGACCAGGGCGACCATGTAAGGTGATTGCCGATTCAACGGTCGTACTAAACGCGTTAAGATCTACGACTAAGGCAGCTCCAGCTATTCAAAAGACAAGGAGGATAGAACAGGATGATGAAAATATTCTCCTTTACTTCACCCGTGAAGTATCTATGCCGTTAGATGAGATAATTTGCGGTGATACTAGTAATGGAACAAAATTATATCCTTGAAATGAGGCTGGGATGAGCAATTGTTGCATAATTATGGGGTTTGTGGCTTGAAAGCTTTTTCCCTTCTTAATCTGGCTTACCTTCTCCGTGGATCTGCATAATAGATACCAGATTCCAAATAGGACGTTATATAAGAATAAATTACTATAAATAAAAAACTAACCTAGAGCAGATTGTCTATTAATCTCGAACAATCCCATCCGACTTTTAAACGTCTTAAAAGCTATGCATGCAAGTGGCTTTGTCATATAATGAACCTGGAGCTTTTTATTTTCAACGAGGTCACGAATGAAATGGTAACAAAAGTTAATGTGCTTTGAACGCTCATGATAATAGGGATATTTCACTAAAGCTAAGGCGCCTTGATTTTTACCGAACATTTGGACACTCCTCCTGTTCGGACTTAAATACTCCAGGAACAACATATTTTTGAAAGATTCTGCGGCCAGTGTCCCTGCTTATTATACATGGCCTATAAGATACACTCAGATTCGGCGGTTGACGTTGAGACAGAATTTTGTTTCTTAGATGCCTACGAGAAGGCCCTGTATAAAACATTCCAACCCCCCCGAATTACTATTTTGATCTACCCTATCACTTGCCCTGTCTACATCAATAGATGTGGAAAAATTTTCGTCTTGGTTGCCTTCGGGTCCGAAAGGCGGTATGTTTCATGATTGACATTAATTGCCGTATAGGGCTCTTGAGCGCGTAGCCACGATGGTTGGCAAGAACTTCCATGAATTATGATTGCCTCTCTACCGCAAATGCGATATCTGGTCTCGTGAAAAGCATTGCATACATAAAGCTGCCAATTGCCAGTGAGAATTCATTAGAGTCAATTGGCTCATCGTTTCCTTTCCCAAGTCGCAGATGTTCGTGATAAACTTCAGGAATCAATCTAGGTTTGTCTTTCTCCTTTGTAACACCAAGTTTATCGAGAGGGCCGGAGATGTCCTGCTCCTGATGAAGATAAATTCTCCAAGTTTTTCTCTTACGAAGTATTCGAACTCCAAGAATCTTAGACATATCACCTGGCTTCCTGGTGCTGAATATGCATGTGTGACGAGAGCAAGCCATTTGTAGGGAACTTCAACTTTATGGAGAGAGAAGTGATACGATTAAGGGTTATAGCTATTTGTATATCCTTCCAGTCCATCCATGACGCACTTTGTTGGTGAGAATGATATTGCTGCACAATTGCGCATCGTTTTACTATTAAGAAACTGTCGAACTAATCGAGACCCGCATATGAGGCTGAATAAGGCTGATAAGGAGGCACACGCAATCAACCGTGCGTTACACATGGTGTCTATTATTATCCCCATGCAGTCATTCTTTGTTTGTTTGTATTTAGGTTATCATCTGGAATTTTATATTATGATTGGTTATGCCTGCATTTTACTGTTTGCGATATTAGCGCTCATTATGTTTTATCTTGTATTTAAGATTAGGTAACAAACAATGTTTGTAAGACGAGATGGGGAAATTGCATGGTCCAGACCATGCAAACTTACTAAAATAAGACGAGCGAACTTGTACTTAAAGAGAAGTAAGATCATGGAAGATAGAGCAATCAGTCATCTTTCTTTCTCTTCTCTCTGAGAAAACATCGAAGTCCCAATCCTGTGATAGAAACCTAACCTGGCCTCTCACTTGGCAATTGTACTTCGCCATCCCACATTTCTTTTAAGCCCCAATGTAAAGCGGCGAAATGCAATTCACTTGCTTGGTACAAGATGATATAGAACACTCTCACTACTGCGTCCCGAACCCCGCTTAGATCTCAACCTGAGCTAAACCACGATCAAAGCATAACAGTGTGTGTTTTGTTATGTTCATTAACGTGCTAGGTTACATGACTACTGTTGCACTCCTACTGGAGCTTAAGCACAAGTGGGGTCGGGCCGGATCAGGTTAACTACCGTGAATTTCAGATAAACCTTGTCTCACTTTAATGACCGGACCACCTCAGACTTCAGCTACAGTCTCTTAAGAGTATCAAAAGTACAATTGTCAAAATGACTGGGGCTAGATCCCTGTACATATTGATTAGATTCGTTTAGCCTTCATGCAGGCCCATGTCTAGTTCGTCGAATA